AGGAATCTTTGGTAATAATCATAACAGGAGGCATAACACTAATTTTAGAACTGACGTGCTAGCAGAACAGTAATGAGAATTGCAGTTTCTTGGGAAATGTTATTTAGAGTTAGCATTACCAGATAACTGCTTTTAGGAATACAGAAAACGGTGAATGTGTTTGTAATCTTAGTATGTGGTGAAACATGACCTGAAGTTGTTACATCCAAGTCTGTGGAATTTACTGTGTTCATTACTGTTGACTGCTGAAGTAGCTGTCACCAGTGGTGTGGGTGCTGCATGTGAATGCTGTGAAGCAAAATTTGTTCTATGCTGTATTTTGATAAGTACCTGCAAACAAAACCTGTTTTCGGTAAGTAGACACCATTGGCTACAGGTGTAGAAATCAGTAAAAAAACAAAGTGGCACAAACATTCTCCCAGCTGATTTTAGAGATCTGATCTCTTCCATTCTTTGTTCAAGTGCCAAATCCAGTGTGGGTAAAATCTTTAGGGAATCTAGCTAGAAATGTATGTTTATTTTACAAGTGCGAAGTACAGCTTAAGGGCTTCTTTTCCTAAATGTGACCAAATCCCTTCACAAAATTTTTCTCAGATTATTCAGACACAGCCGACTTCCATGAGAATAGAAATACGTATTCCTGTTTACAGAAACGATACCCTGTCCAAATCAAGTCTCTCAAAGCATAGTGACTAGGGGAGTGTTTTTAATAGGAAGAAAAAAAGGAAAGACTTAAGATTTTTGATTGGCACATTTAGTTTTGCTTTACAAGCATGAAGTTAACAATTATATTTTCTACCTTCTTCTTGTTCTTTTTTCTCCCTTTTTTCTAGTACCATTCTGGGAAATTGTTTTAGCTATGATTTTCCTAAGGAATCAGGTCAAAAGAAACCTCCTTGCTTGCATCTTTTAGTGGAACATATAACTATGCTTAGTAGTATGTAATAATATCAGATATAATATGCAGTATTTGTCCATAAGCATACATGTATGTACAATATATATATATATATATATATACACACACACACCTTATGCATAGTACATTTTTTATGAAGTTGTTGATAGTTGCTGATTGGAGGTGAAGTGAACCAAATAATCAAAGAGGAGACAGAAAAAAGCATTAGCAGTGATGCTTCAGGATAATTCAGTAAGCTGCTTACTGAAGTAATCACTAGTGGAAAAGAAAGCTGTGGAACCTACATTAAAGAAGCAAAAAGTAACCAGTAATTATATGGGATGATTGAGTTAAGACTCTTGTGTTCTGTGCAGGGTGTAGCTGAGAAAAAACAAAACTGTGTTTGCCTTGAAAAAGAAAAAAAAAATCCACTTCAAAATGGAGCATTTTTTTAAGGCATAATATTGTGCCATTTAAGATCTCACTACTTTGCATCATTGTAGTGAAATGATCAAAGGAGGAGAAGGCTTCTCTTGGGAACTTAATTACTATTCAAACTTTTTTTTCCAGGACTTCAATAGTTATGCTGATAAACCTTGTATTTTAAACAATGGGGTACTGTTTTTGTAGCACAGTTTTTAGTTTAGTACTTTTTGTTTAGCATAACGAACTACAAGACAAAAAAGAATGTAGCTTGCTTGACTTTTTCTCAGATAAGGGGGGAGAAGAAACAGTGGAACTGTGTGTGGAATTAATTTTTTGTACAATTATTTTAGGTTTAAGTTACATGTTATATGATTGCTTTCAGTTCCCTGGGGAAAAAAAATCTATAACTGGTAATTTCAATCAGGATTGACCTGTAAATAAAATTAGCAAAAATAGCAAATTTGTGAGTTGTTTCTTGGGATCATAGTTTCAAGTTGACCAATTTTTTTTTTTCCAATATTATTTTAATATTCCCCTTTGAATGTCTTCTATGAGTTATAAGGAAAATAATTGATGAGACTTCTGAGACTTTGCAGATAACTTTACGTGGTAGCTTATTTCAGAGAGATCCCATTAGTGTGCAGGTTGATTCAACCTTGTTTTGATAGTAACAGACTATTGGCAAGGGTCATCTTTTCATTGCTGCATTTGTTTGCATAAGTAGTTTGCAGTTTTTAAATAATTTGCTGGAAACACTGAAAATACGCGATTTGGCTAGCTAACTGTAATTAATTTTATTTACTTAATGCATTTGTAATGTATTGAGAATCTTGGTAGGCAGAAGCCAAGTGAATACAGAATGATAGCAGTAGTTTTTGAACTTAGCTCCATTGCTTTTCTTTCCAAGCAGGCACTTAACAAAATGCTGAAATGTGTTAATGTGTGAGTGTAAGACGTGGATTTCATTTCTAAGCTGTGACTTTTAGAACTAAGTAGTAGATCTTCTATGAACTCTGTAGTGGAGTGAAGGGCGCTACTTTTTTTTGTAGATATGAGTTGTACAGCGCAGTGTTGTAAGTTTACTTGATTCAAATCATGTGTTCTCAGCAATTTTCTGTTATTATAGGTACTGTAGGTACTGGCTTTTACTAATATGTGAATAATCTGTTTACTGGTTTGTTTCTACATGCATCAATACTTTCCATAATGAGGGTTAAGTTTGCTGCAGTACTGAGTTGTTTGTTGTGATTTTTCAGATGCTTCTTCATCACCTAATTCTGAAGTCTGTGAAGCAGGCTGCTCAGTTAACTTCAGTATCTTGATAACATGCCACAGAAAAGGCTACGTAGTCTGCTCTGTATCTTTTGGACTTAAAGTATGTTTAGGAACAAGTCTTTGACCTTCCCACAGCTTTGGAGTATGTCAAAGAGCACGTTTATACTGTTATGTTCAAGTTCTTATCTGTGGAGCTAGCTTGGGCTCAGAACCAGTCAGTGGTCTTCTTTTCAAGTGAGAAAGTGTGAGCATACATCCAAACGAAAGGCTCTCAGCACCTTGGGTGTAGGTCTTTAAAGCCCTCTGTTCCACACTGATGTGAATTGCGTATTGTCCTTAGCGGAGAAGCTGTAATGTGTTGAGGAACGGGCCAGGGTGTCCTTGCCATTTGTTACCACAGGTACTGGAGGCTGAGAAGCAAGTCCTTGTCAGCTTCTAAATCTGCAGTGAAGCAAGTAGTATGGCTGTGTTTGTGAACTGACTTACCTTCCTCTTCCTTCCTGGACAAATGTGAAGACTGTTCAGCTGAGAAACTGGCTTTGTCTTTGGGGAATCTGATCTGTGCGTCTCCTGAGGTGGCTGCTAAAGTTACTGGGGAAGGTGGCTGAGGAGAGAGGTTGTGTGGGCTGGCATTAGCTTTTTGTAGGAAGAGACAGGCACTAATGCTTTGTGATGCTTGAACATGGGATGAGACTTCGGTATGGATCTCTACCTTGTACCATGTGTGCCTGTGAAGACCTGAGACCTATTTGCTCACGTGTTTTTGGTTTGCAAAGCAGCCGTGGGCAGCTGACGCTGAAAGAGAGATAATGAAAAAAAAATACTTTGTTGGATGGTTGGTTGTTCCATTAATAGATAATGCACACCCACTAATAGATACATGTATAAGACATCTGGATATGTCCAAACCACAGCTCCAGGAGCACCTTGGAGGGTGTGTCAGTGCTGGGCAGAGCCCTGCAGTCACTCAGCCATGCAGGCACTGGGCAGGAGGAGCGCAGTGTGAGTGCGGGCAGCACTCACACTGTGGCAGGCAGGGAGGCTCCTGGGTGTAAGGTGAAAGAGCACTGGCTGTTGCCAGGAAGGTTTGCTATCAGGCACAGTTTCATGAAAATATGTAGTTAGTATCTAAGGAATAATCTGCCTTTTTGTTTGTCAAACGAGACAGCTTAGCTGCATAAAAAAATGGTATTATTGCTGTCTGATTCTAAGGGCAGCACTGTAACATTCTTAAGTAATACATACAATAAGGGCAGCAAGAAACCTGAATCTGTTCATCTTTTTCCCGCTGGGAATTCTGAAATAAATGATGTGTCCACAGCCTCAACTGCAGTGATGAGAACATATTGCTGCCTGACTCATGGTGTTTGCTGCTGCTGCCATGGCTGTAGAAGCTGTCCTGTGAAATGTTTATGTGCATACTTTTTAATAGAATACAACAGAGCTGGTTGGTGTTAACAAGTGTTTGGGGTCTTTGTTTTCAATGAGAGATGTGTTTAAAAGCAGCATGTTCAGAAATGCTGTCTTGGGAAATCATTTTGGTTTAGGGGAAATACTTAGAAAGCGTGTTGTGAAGCAGATGCAAATCTCTTAAGTGCTGCCTGCACAAACTGGCATCATTTTCTTATTTGGTCATGAGAATGTAGTGAAAATCCTGATTGCTTATTTACTTACATTTTTTTTAGAAACTATGAAATAGACATGGACTTTCAATATGTGAAACATCTGTGTTAACAGACGTTGTGTTTTATTTATCAGTATGTGCCTATTTTAAACATAGTGGTGTGTGTTTGGTGTGTGTTTAGCTACATCTGTGTTAGAGAATGAGTTTGGTAGAAGAAAAATAATTGTTTTCTGTCATATTGCTTTTTAGTTACGTTAATGTAATTGTGTCTTCTTCCTGGAATTATGACTTGAAAAACAGGTGAAGTTGCACTTATGCAGCAATATAATGATGATTGATTGAAGGTAGCTTTCCAGCCAGTGTCAGTTTTTATTTCCAGTAAAATAACATTGATGAGGCCAGGGGGATTATTTTCACTAAGGAGATTTCAGAAGACTTCTTAGGCTTTGTTAAAACATCAAGTTGATGTAATGTTTGTATCATGAAAGTTGTTTCTTTTTCTTTCCATTTGCGCTTCTTTACTTTTGATGTTTGTTTTATTGCACAAGTTACTTTAATTCATGGTGAGCCTTTTGTTTTTCGCTTTGTCTTGTTTTCTCAAATCTGTTGTGCATGTTTGTGTTGTTTGGTTTTGATTCAAAAACTGAAAACCAGGCAGAAAACTTACAGCATTTACAGTTTTGGCCCCCCATGCATCTGGCTGTGTTTGCAAACAGTACGTAAGAAAGTGGTATTTCAGTGTGCATAATAATTAGGCATTACTATTTCTCTTTGTAGAGTGCTCATTTGGCTATGATTGATACTCTTATGATGGCTTATACTGTCGAGATGGTCAGCGTTGAGAAAGTGATTGCATGCACTCAGCAGTATTCATCCTTTTTCCAAGCTACAGATCTACCTTATGACATAGAAGATGCCGTCATGTTCTGGATAAATAAGGTATGAACAATGGAGAAGCAAACCATGATTTTATTTGTAGTCTGTAAGATTGTATTAGAGATGAATGGATATGTATATACATAGGTGTATCTGATAGGGACTGTTTTTCATCTGCTGTTTGTGGATAACAAAAAAAGAAGTTTGCAGAAATCAGTTCAACTAGTTATGTGATCTAGATAAATGAGAAGTCTAAATTAAATAGAATAATATAACCTGCATGTGGCACGTTAACAGTTGCTGTCATGTTGAGATAGCATGTTGGCTGGTTGAGTGTCTCTGGTTGGCTATGTTAAAAGAGCTAATTTCTTATTTGTCATGATTTAAAAGCAAAGTGTTCTGTTTATGTTTGAGCACATATTGCTTGAGATTGTTTAGCTTTACCACATAATCAAATCAAATGACAGCAATACACTCTTAATCAAATGCAATTAAGCATAATAAAGGGCAGAGTTGTTAATAAAGCATAAAGCTAAACGTGTGACCTAGACTGCAGCTGGAATGTTGACGTTTGCAGGTTACACTTCACAGCTATGGAATCAGAAATATCTGTTAAATCTTTTCAGCAAACTTAGCGTAGTGATTTACAGACCTTAAGAAAACTTGCAATTTCCACAACTTGTTTCTCGGACCACGGAATAAGCTTTTTTGTCTGTAGGTAAATGAACATTTGAAAGACATAATGGAACAGGAACAAAAACTTAAAGAGCATCACAGTGCAGAATCTGCAGGAGGTCAGAAGGTATGTGCTGGAGTTAAAATAATTTAATCTAGGACAAGCATTCATTGTAAATAACAGTTACTTATAGATATGGTATGTATTAGTAAATACGCATTTGCAAACACTGAACTTTTTAACTGTTTGTTACATAATGCAAGGTTTTAGAGTCACAGAATATAGTGAATTGGAAGGGACACACAAGGATCACAGAATCCAGACCCTATTTCTTTTTTAAGTGAGTTTCATGATTTCCATGAAGTTATTCCTTTCAAACGTAACAATAGGAAAGTTGCACTTTTTATTCCCGGTTGTCCTTAATGACAATTCAGTTTTTGACAGCAAGAAAACATGTGTTGCAGTGGTTGTAAGAAATTGATTAATAAATACTTCCTAGATAATTTCAAAATGCAGTTGAGTCAACTGTGAAAAAGGAAAGCACATTTTATGCATGTTTTTTTCAGTGTTCACCCTTGTGAATTACATGCATCTCAAAAGAGATAAATCTGCATGTGGCATCATGGGAAGAATTGCTTTATGATCCAAGATGTTTATTCCAACTTTTTTAATGTGAACAATAAAAGTTGTTTAATACGTTTTCCTAAAAGGGTTGTAGGTATTTTGTTTTGTTTGTTTTGTTTGTTTGTGGAGTTCAGTTAATAAAATAGCATTATGCCCATTTAAAATGTGGAAAGATTGCATTCAGTTCCAGAGTAAATAAGTTTGCATGTTTAATATGCTTCTGGATAATTCTATCAGTCAGTCACTTTTGAAAGATGTGAATAGTTTTTGAAATCTTAATAGTTTTTGCATTAGAATCTTAATATGGTTAATAGCAGTGATGGGAGGAAAAAAAAAAGCCCACATATATAAGAGCAGTTACATACAATTCTCGTTATTTGTAAACAAAAAAAGATCAGTAATGTTTATTCTCACTTAGATTATAATTTGAATAATTTAGAATATAATTTGTGTTTTGTTAGGAATGTCAAGATAAAATTTGTATTTATGTCCTTGTTCTTGAATTAACTGTTAAAATAGACTGCCTGGTCCATAACCATATCACATAAATAAAACCAGTGGACTGAAAAAATTGCCTAACGTTAGTGTGAGCATTTGTGATGGTTTTGTTGTATGAATATCAATCTGTAACACAGAACCTATTCTGTTGACCACATTACAAATGCACTTGTAAAGCAGCAATTATTGACAAATAATGGAAGAAATTATAATTCTTTCTATACATACACTACAGTTTTAGGTAGTATTGTTCCAGGTGCATATTAGGTTATTTGCCTTGGTGTGAGACTCAGCAGCATAAATTACAGGTATTACAGGTACATAAATTGTCAGGTATTCCATGCTATGAGTATATACTGGCATACCTTTATCTATTACCTGGAAAACTTAATGTGGGTACAATGTCAGGCTCCAGTTGACCCCTGGATGTCTCTTCTGCTAGCAGGAGTTCATTGCAGATTATATTGCAGGTTGGTTTGTTGTTTTTTTACAAATGCCATTTGTACAGAAAGATTCAAGACTGCAATGACAAGTGGAATCTGATTTTAGAAAGTAAGTCTAGAATCTGAAAAACAGAGTCACTTGTAGTTGGATTTAAGGAATTTAAATCTCTTTTTTTGTATGCAGGAAGATGGTAAATTCAGATGGTAACTCAGATTGTTATTTTAGGTTTTCTTTGAGAAATGCTGGTCTGTTCAACTGATGATTAACTGGTTTTTTTTAATGTAACAGTATTTACCAAATGAGATCTAGAAAACATAATAAACATATGCCTAAAACTGGTATTTCCTAACTGCAAATTATACTGAATGCAAACTTTCCACAGAAAACTATGAAGAAAATCTATTATAAATCAGTTGTTCATATTTTCTGTTAAACCATGAAGAGACTCTTGTCAAGCATCTGCTAGCATTTATCTTCAGACTTCACGTCTGATTATTTGTCTCCATATTCCGTCCCTCATGCGTTCTTTTTATAGTACGAAATCAGTGATGTGTCCTGTTACGTTATGGCATTGACCCTCCCTCTCACGTATCTCAGCAAAGCTGTGAAAAAGCTGACTGAATTTTTGTAAGAGATTTGGCTGCTAGTGAAATGTGTACAATTTCTTGTCTGAGTACTTAGCAGTGCGATTTTCCCTTACTATTTTATTCTATCTTGTGCCTGGGTTTAGTTACCATCAGTAATCTTTACTAAATTGAAAATGGATGGATGGGTTTGATCACTGCCATTGTATAAACCAAAATAATGTAATTACACACTTTACCAGTTTCCTGGAGAAACTAATTAGTTTCTAGAACTAGATAGTTCTACATGTTTACTGCAGCTTTGCATTTTCAAGCTGAGTCTCTATTTCTTAATTTAGGTTTGTTGTGTTACCCACGTGGTAACAAGTTCTAAAGGTAATGATTCCATTCTAAAAATTTAACTGATTTTGCAATCTTCCTTCTGCTCTGGCCCAGTTCCTTCAGAACTTTTGTTTTAGCATTTCTAAGCTGTGATTGGGTTTTGAACCCAAACCAAGTTTAATTAACAATGTCTTATATGCTGAATTAGAGAGGTGGCCAAACTACCGTGCGAAGAATAGGTCATTCGTGTGATTAGGGTGAGCTCTTCTTAATTTCTGGCCAAGAATCAGCAAAGCTCAATATCGGAGAACTGAAATCAAGTTAATGAGTAATCAAGTTAATTTTTTTCTAATCTCTAGTGTGATAAAATCTTAAATGTATTAGTTATAAGAAAGATATTGAACATTAATGCCTTATCTTGTTGAAAATCTGTTGTGAGCTTTCTTGTACTAAATAGTAAATCTCTGTATTGCTAAAAAAAAAAAAAAGTGAAGTATCATATAAATAAATGATAGAGGTAAGATAGACTTAACTATTTCTGAGTAGTTGCAAATAGTATTAACAGATTATGAGATTGCTTTTGTTTTCCTTCATTTTCTTCTGCTGCTAGCTTCCTGTAGAAGATAAGAGAGGAAGGAGTATGTATCTTTTTAGCTCCAGGTAGTCCCCTGTGGATCTTGATCTGCTGGTGCTTTGTGGTCATCTCGTCTGTTTCTGGTAGAGTCTCTGCATCTTTCAGAATTAGGATTTGAAGTTTTGTAGTAGCTTTGGTTTTCAGGCTTCAGTTGAACAATATGTTGTAAATGTACAGTTGCACTTGTTAAACTAATGACTTTCAGTGAAATCAGAGCTTTCTCTTAAACTGTTATCTTGTTTGTGATTTAGACTGAGTGAACACTTAGCAAAATCAATGCAAGTGCCTTGAGAAAATCAAATTTCCGAGTATTTACCCCAAGACCTGAACTCTTTAAACAATTTAAAATTGGTTTAAACAGTGCAACTTTTTGTGCGAAGGTAAAACACTAACACTATAGTCCCACAATCATTTAAATTTATTCTAAGTCCCCACTGCTAGCAAAAGTTAACCCATCAAGAAGATGGCTTTGGAGCAGGATGAACTTCCTTATCTACTTAATGCACTGCTGCATGAATACTAATGATGGTACAAGGAAGAGAGCAGGAACAAGGGCCTGATGAAGGGCATGATTTCCACTTTTGGTTTTTTTTTTTTTGGCATAGGATGAATTTATGCAGAGTTAAATTTATGTTGGAGTCATTTTTAAAACTTGATTTGTAGGAGATAAAAGAATCTTCTTGTAGGAGTGCAGGTTTTCACCTGAGACTGTTCTTAATTTTCTCTTGAGAGGGGGAAAAAAAAAAATGAAAAAAAAAACCATGAAATCAAGTCAGGATTACCTTGTCAGGTTTTTTTTAGTGACTGATCAATTCTTAGTAATTCTCATAATAATAATTTTGTTCCTATTCATATGAAGTACAAGTTTGAGAGTCACTGAACTGTGTTGTTCCAAGGGATTTCAGCTTTTCTTTATCTGTTCGAGTACAGAAAGATCCACCAACAGTATGTTTCACCTTACGTTTTTAGGTCAAATTTGTATTTTTGATAATGTGTCAGGTTAGAATTGTATATACCAGTTTGGATCATTTCTCTGTGAATAGTCAAACCTCCTTCTACATTTCAGGTCATTGCACATCATGCAGCTGATGCTAATATGATTTGTCATTGCAAAAAAATAAGTGCTTGCACCTCTTGTTGTTCTGAAAACTGCTATATGACTGTTCAAAAATATTCTAAGCATTATAAACCTCTTTGGCTTTGAAGTGACTAATGCAAACTTCACTGCAATTGGTTGTAATGTACTACAGTGTGTTTATACCTTTTTTCCATTGCTTTAGCTTCCCTGCTTCTGCATATACACTGCTGGAGTTCATTTTGATACTTGTGAAATCATAACTTCAAGTCTCAAATGAATTCTTTAGTCAGATTGCATATTCAGAGTACGATTACATGCGTGAAAGCACTTAACAGAACTGCATTGATATGACAGTCTTATCTATTGTTGTGGGAAAATGGTAATGTTGATGTACTAAGACTGAAGATGAGTATTTCTACAGTATTATTTGTGCTAATGAGTTGAAGATACAGTGGCTATAGTGCTCTAATGTTTATCATTAAATTATAATTTACTGTTATACGAAATGAGAATGTTGAAGAAAATTGCTTTGTAAAAATGGTGAAATCTGATAAATTGTTCCTGTTTTTTTTTTTTTTTCTTTGCTTTCTGCTTTTGTTTTTTTTTTTTTTCCCTACTGCTTCCTCTGAAGTCTCCTACCAAATGGTATTGGAAACTGGTTCCTGTAAGTTTGCCCAACTGCTTCACTTTGATCAACTAGCTTATTTTGGGAATGGCTTTGTCCATGTCATGCTGGTCTAATTATTCATTTCATTTGTCTCTGAGATAATTTGTTAAGAGATTACTCTGAAAAGGTGTTCATAATAAAGCTAAATAAACAAAATAACTCTCAAACACCCTGCTTTGCAAGGTACTCTGTGCAAGATTAGTGAAAGATGTAATGCTGGGTGAGATTTACCGTGGCTTTGGTGTAAACTGATAGTACCAGCTGTTAACTTTTTTCAAAATACTTTCTCAAAGAATTCCAGTAAGTATATGCTATTTTATATGGACTCTTAAAAAAAAAACAAAAAAACCACCACAACAACAACAACAAAAAAACAAAGCCTTGCAGAAATAATTTTTGATTGCTGTCTGTATATGGAAACTGAAACTTTCTGATACATTTTAATGTGCAATCATTTCACCATTTGTCTAGAATTCCTTATTTTTTTGACTGATTTAAGATAGTTCTCTGTCCACAGAAAGTAATCAAAAACAATCTATTGATAATGAGACCATAATTTCATTAACAGCAGTAGAAAGTGACTAGTTCTGCATACTATTAAACTTTGTTTTCCCTTTGTTGCCTTTCTGTGGGGTTATCGTTCTCATACAGTAACTTGCCCCTGAAACACACTCTTATTATTAATTCTACAACAGGTTTTGCAATTTGCAACATCTTTCCATGGAGAGACGTGCTGTGTGGCTTGGGAATAAGCTAGTCAGTTGTTTAGGTACATGCAGAACTACGTATTTCTGGTCTGAATTCCAGAGAATTAATCCTTATGGCTTCAATGGGAGGATTATCAAATAACTGATTTAGCAGTTGCTCAGGTCTTGGTTATCGTAACTAGTACAATATTGCTCATAGTTTGCAAGGAGAACTAAATAACAAGGCAGCTGCATGTAGGCAGCACCAGAGACAGCATGTTGTTCCTGGTGGTGGTATTAAAAAAATGAGTAAAAAGGTTCAAGCACACTTTTCAGTAAATTAATCATTATGTAAGTTCTTAATAATTTGTATCCTACCAGCAATTTCTATGTAATGCTCTCAATTACAATTGTGACATTTGTACACACAAAGACTCTGCTCTCCACAGTATAATCCATTAACTTAATTTTGGAATTAAATGGAGAGAACAATGGAGAAAAAAAAGGAGAAGCTTTTTACTGCTTTACAGAAAATGAAGCACATTTTTGTTGATGTTGTTCTATTGATACAAAGAAGTGGCTACTTCACAGTAGTTTCAGAATGTTTTTATTTTGCTTTTGTCTACAGTGTTAATTTAGTAAACTAACTTGATTAAAAATTGAAACCTGTAACCTAAATTCACTTGCCTGTTGTCCATAAACAACTTGCACTAGAGTTATTTACTTTGAGCCTGTTACTTGAGTACAATTATAACTGAAACTCTAGTGCTGCTGATAATACAGTAGGAAAGCAGTGGCTCAAATGTTCTGTTAGTTCAACCACTTGTCTCATCTCTTCGCTTTACATGGTGCAGATGTTCAGTAGTGGGATAGGCCTCAGCATGCCGGCAGCTGGAAAGTTACTCTGAGAAGTGAATTTATAGCACATCACTGAAGATAAAGGCATCCGTGTCTCTTATTAATGATTACCTCAGAATACACAGGGGCACTTCAGAGTAGCTGATGGGCTTTTAGTTTTTAGCTAACCTTGTTCATATGCCAGTGTCTTAACTACACTGAGATTTGTCCAAGAGGAATAAGCTCAGATGCCAATTCAGACTGGTTTCTATAGGACCTCAGAAACAAGATTTGTATTAGCATTTATGTTTTAATGAGCACTACAGCATTTTAATATATGTAGAGGTTTGTTTGTCTCTTGCATTATTGCATCCATATTTACTAGCAAAGATTACTACTGAATAGAAGGATTTCTTCAAATGGAAGTTAGGTAAAAATGCAGTGCAATTACCAGTGTCTTCTGTTTTTCAATATAATTTTTTATCTTTTCTGCTAAATTGAAACACTATGCCTGTTATACCTTAATGAACCTAGCATGGCAGATTATATTTATTTTCCTGAACTGATGTGCTTGGTGTACTCTACAGTGAATTAAGTCCTCTTTCTAGGTTCACTTTAATGATTTGACAGTTTCCAGGCACTGTTCATAAAGCTACTTTTGAGGCATCCTTGGAGTGACAACAGGCTTTCACAGAATTTACTATGGAAGACCATTGCATTATTAATTTAAAATATTTTTCAGCACTCCATTAAAAAGATGACACTTAAAAGGAATATATAAAATATTACAGAACTATTTGGGCCATAATTTTAGAGTCCATATCTGTCCTGTGTCTTCTAACATTATTCCGTAATTGAATCATAATATTTAACTGATTCAGTTTTAGTCATAGGGAAGGTGCAGAGACCTTTTCATGTTGTATTTGAAGCTTAAAGGATTTTTAATCATAGTTTATCATAGTATTGCCTGAGAATGAAAAAAGAAACTTTCAGTGCAGGCAGATTGGCCTGTTTTCTCATGTTTAACATGAGAAGAATTGTTAGTAATTCATTTACTGTTAGTGAGTATTTAGCATAACATGCAAAACATTTGATGCAAATACCAGGCCATTTCAAAGATGAAGACAAACTCTCCATTTTTAATTGGTTACCATTTGTTAATTAACCAATTACTAATATTAATTTATTAGAGTATAAGTTTCCTGGGCTTAATAGAAGCCCTTAATTTTCCTAGAACAGAGATCTTGTATTACTAGATTTGTGCTTCTTGGCCTTTTAGAAGACACTAATGTTCACTATAGATAACTTCCCTGTCATCCTTAACAGAAATCTAGTGACAATAAGCATGGCCTTCAGGGTTAGTCTGTGGTTCTACAGGCTTTTGTTTTTGTTTTTTTTTTCTTTTTCTTTTTTTTCTTTTTTTCTTTTTACCAACAAAGCTAGATGAGACAGTTCCCACCCCACCCAAAAAGCCTTCATCCCTGCCAACTCAATTGCTTTAGAAACAAAGGGGAAAAGAGTTTTTGGTGGAGCAAAAGTTTTATCGTGCAGCCGCATCAGCAACTTTCAGTACAACTCAAAGGTGGAGAGCAGCAGACAGGATCTTGCAGCTTCAGCTTTGATAGAATCTTAGAATGGCTTGGGTTTAAAGGGACCTTAAACATCATCTAATTCCAACATCCTGCCCTGGGCAAGGTTGCCACCCACCAGATGAGGCTGCCCAGTGGCTAACCTAGCCTTGAATGCCTCCAGTGATGGGATATCCCCAGTTTCTCTGGGCAGTTTGTTCCAGTTCCTTGCCACTGAAGAATTTCTGACTGTTGTGGTTTAACTCTCTTTTGGTTTAAAACTATTCCCCTTGTCTTGTAACTATTGGACTATGAAAAATGTTGGCCTCCGTTTTGTTTATAAGGTCCCTTTAAATACCGGTGTCTTCAGTGAGGTCTCCCAGAGCCTTCTCTTCACTGGAATGACATCTTCAAAAGCTTCACCAAATTCCTACAAGGCTGCTTTCAAGCTTAATGTGTGTATTTCTGTGAAATTTACTTAGAAACACTCTTGGCATTATAATTAGTTGTGTGATATGAATGAGAAGGTAATCATTTGGTACTGTTTTAAAAATAAAGCATAGTAAATATTAACGAATTACAATCTTTCATCTCCATTTGTTTTCTCAAGAAATACTGAAAAGAAATTCAGGTCATAGATAACATTTGTTAAGGTAGCTGTCTCCCTTTCCCCCTCATCCTGCCCCACAAAGAAAACCATAAAAATGTATTAATTGCAGGTAAATGTTATCTTAGCATTCTAAACTAATGACCCCCTTGTACACTGAGTTGTTTTTCAAAATATCTCCTTTTTCTAACTGGGCTGCTGCCTGGCCTTAACACTTGACCATGAATGCTTCTTTATGTTTCACACTGCTTACAATGAAACTTACTAGTAATGAAATGTAGTTGATGCAGATTTCCTTGTTTCAGAACTTGCTGTTAAGTAGGTTACGTTATTGAGATTTTGGGAAAGCTTCTTGTGCATTAACTTCATAGTCATTTGCACTGCTGGTAAAATGAAGCTATGATCTTCACAGCAGATCGGGGTCTGTCTTGTGTTTACATGCAGATCCATTCTGGTTGAATAGAAATGGATGCAAGATGTTGAATGAGTTGTATGATATTTAATTTAGCTGCACAGAGATCATTAAAAAAAAATTTGGTAGTTTAGAAAGAAAATGTCAATACTGTCATATAGGCTCCTTTCCTCTTAACTATTACTTCTGGCATTCAAAACAAAGCGTAAAGTGAAAAGTTCTAGGAAATCTGAAACTGAGAACATTGAGTTATTTATTTAATGCTGCATTTTCACCGAGTGTAAAACCTGCAATACAAATCTGTTTATTCATGTGTTCAGAGCCTTTGTGTCTCTTAATCTCTTCATTCCATATTGTAGGCCCGTTACAGGAAGGAACAAACATTGCTCAAGCAGCTGCCCTGCATTCCATTGGTGGAAAACTTGCTGAAAGATGGTACAGATGGTTGTGCTTTAGCAGCCCTGATCCACTTCTACTGTCCGGATATTGTTAAACTTGAGGGTATGTCTAACATGTCTCAGTTGAAATGTCTTTACTTTTTATATATATAAAGAAAGGTGCTGAATAAGATGTGTCAGAGGCGCGGTCTGAGTGTGACAGTGATGGATTCACTATTAATGTTTTATCTATGTATTTTTAAACTTAAATAACAAGATCCACTATGTCCTTCCATAGTATTTACTCTTACAGTGTCACACAGATGCAAGTGTATGGCAACATGTTATTGCAGATATGACTCTGATAACGCCACAAAAATTTGCAACTATTTGGAAAACAGTGACTCTTGAAGCTGCGTAAGTGCTTTCTTGTGTGTCTGATCAGTTACAGATATAAAACAGGGAAGGGTCACTTCTGTCTTTCACAGAAAAGTAGACAAACTGCATAGCTGCTCTGTATGGCAGATGATAGTTGGTTCGTGTTCAGGGCTTTTCTCTGATAGTGAAGTATATATATCGTGGATAAACAAGAGCATGTGGTGTAGAACATACCGGTGCCATGCTGTTCTATACTGGCAATTATCTGATGATGAGCAACTTTATCTTTGTACTGTGGCCTGGTTCAAGTTGTATCTTCCTCTTGGCAACTGAGAGCGTCTTGCAGCTGTAAAATGTCTTGGCAGCTAACACCCATCATTTTCAGCCTGTGTTCTGTCCGTGATACCTTTGATGTCGTGGGAACACTTGTATATATCTTCTTCCTAAGAAATCCAGGAATATGAACAAGGATATAAAGGTACTGGAATATGGAATTCATATGCACAACAGCTTTCTAGGAAGCTTCCAGCCCAGTAGGCTTTGAAGATTAAAGACACTAAGATGCATACATTCATTGTTCTTCTTTGGCTCGTGAATTTTTGAAAATAAGCTTTAAGTTTATATAAGTGTTGCAGCCAAGTATTTACAATTCTGTATGATTGGAGAGAAGTTAGTATTTGGGTTGTGTTTAAACTGAGTAACATGCTGTTTTTAGTATGACTGTAACATAGACTTTCCGAAGGATCTTTTATACTATTTCAGGATGGCATTAACAACAAATTCCTTCAGCATGTGTCTTTTAGCACATTGAAATACAAGACACTTGTCATCTTTCAACTTTCACTTTTACGTTCATTAGGTGTCTTGCCCTAAAGACATAAAAATGTGTGCCATTGTCTCAGAAATAAATTTGAAGATACTCTAAGCAAATAGAAACACTGTAAGAGACTGCTCCAGTCTTCTCTGTCTTTAGATAGTACTACATCTGATATATGTTAAGCTTCACTAAGATTTTGTTCTCTATTGGAAATGAGGAAGGCAGATGAGGAAGATGCATATGCAGAAGTGCTTAAAAATGCACCAATAACAAGGAGAAAAATATGAATCCAGACTACGCAGCTCTAAAATAAATGCTTCCTTGTTAATTTGACTTCAAAATCTGGGTTTCCTTGTAGGAATTTAAAACTGTGTCTGTGAGACAAAAGATTGGCTATTGCTTAAAATTATATGATTCCTTTCATGGCTTATGTTCTATCTTAAAACTGTCTAGCTTTTTAAAATCAGTACTTCTGTTCAGACTGTTGCAGAGCCTCACTTCCATGATTTTAAGTACTATTTTTGTTTCCTACTGAAATATGCTTCTAGCTTGTCTTCACTCATTTCTGTTCTTCAGCAGTGCTCTTAACTTGAATAGCTTTTTCTAATCTGATTTCTTCTGCTCCAATATGTTTTCTTTCTGCTGTTTTGCTCAGGCTACCAAATCCAGCCTTTTCAGTCTCACCTTACGAAGTGGATTTCCATTCTTCTTATTATCTTCAATAATTTTTTTTTGCAACCAGTCTACTTTTTGTTCATCATCTTTGAATGTGGATGGTTATAACTGCACACAGAAAACCAGGCTGGCATCTTGTTACTGCCTTGTACCAAGACTTCCTTGTCGGTACTAGAAACACGTTTGCTGATGCATTCTAGCATCATTTGCTTTTTTCATAGCTGCGTGATGCTGAAATATCACAGACCATCTTTACATGAGTTAATACGTGATACCTTCCTTCTCTGTATCAATTTCAGATACTGAATCATGTTAGAATTCTATTAGAATAAATGCATCAGTTTGAAATTTTGCGCTGCTGAACTTAATCTCATTTTGATCAGTTTAGCCAAACGTTATTTCCATCAGTATTATACAGGGGATTGATTGGGGTAATGGAACGTTTTTTAGTCCTTTCAGATGGGATGCCTTATCCTGCTAGCATCCAAGCAGATTCTTTATCCAAAGGCAACTTGAAGCCTATGCATTTGAAAGCTGTTACCTCAAGCTCTGTCATCCACTGCCGCTTTGGGGGTGGGGGGAGGAGAGAAAACAACAACGTATGCTCTGGACGTATATTTACTTTCTTTTATTTTCTTCAGTTTTGTTTTTTACAATGGCTCTTTTTGTTGTTTATTTTCAAGTACCTGTATAAACACAGAACCAGGCAGTTAGCTGGGTGTGAGGTACTTAGAGCGTACTGTGTAACTGCGTGGTTCTGTTCACTGCTACCAGTGCTTTGTTGTAAAGTGGCACATTGAAACATAGGGTGGTAATTCATGAATCAGATGCTTCTGATCTTTGTAAAGATTTGCATCAAACATGGGAGTCTACAATAGCAAATATATAAGACTAAAGTGATGCTGCATTTATGGGGAAAAAAAAAAAAGAGTTAGTGGCATGAAAGTGTACTCTGTATATGAGAACAGCTTTGGGAAAAAGCATGCACTCCTGTATAGAAAATCTAAACAAAGAAATGGCTTTTTTAGTGGTTAAATATTGAGTTTTTATTATATGAAAATAGTAGGAGATTAAGAATAATTTACATTTCATAGAAGTCAAAGCAAGAAAAAATAAACTTGTCAACAGTTAAAAAAAGTTTAGATATTTTTCTAAAGATACAAAGCTGTATTAAGGTATAATATAGTGCTGTCATTTCTTAAGTTTCTGAAATAGAAAAATAAATCTCCTTATGCAGAAAAGAAAAAGTCAAATTTGGATTTATCCAAAATGCTCCAGGAATCCAGCAAAAACAAAAGCTCTTACTGCAGATCAGGAACTGTATGTAATCTTCACTTCTATTCTTCTTTTGTAGATATTTGTTTGAAAGAGACAATGTCTTTGGCTGACAGCCTGTATAACCTACAGCTGATTCAAGAATTTTGTCAGGAATACCTTAACCAGTGTTGCCATTTCAGTCTTGAAGATATGCTCTATGCAGCTTCTTCAGTAAAGGTAAAAAATAAAAAACACTTAGAAAATGTAAGCCTAACACTTAAGCTGTTTTTTCTAGTAGTATCATCAAGCCTTTTGATCTGCTGCTGTGTGGCTGAGTGGAAGAGCATATTGCATCTTTTGAGGTACAACAAGCAGTAGATTTCAGCAGGATGTAAAACTTCTTTCTTTTGGCAGCTATGTTGTTCTACTAATTTTAAGCTATTTTTAAAAGAATACATTTACACAAACTTTGATTTTGTGCAAAATAATTTCATGCTTTATCTTCTTTCTTACTGTTGGTTAAAATGTGAAGTAGCAGTCTGCATTAGTTTCAATTTTTAAGACACAAAAGCACAGAATTTTGATTTACTGTTCATTGAATTATTGCTCATTGTCTTCACTCATTTGTGTCTACAGTAATTTCATGGGTTTTGAACCTTAAAGATTTTTTTACTTTGGTAAATGTGTTCTGTTCTGTATACTGATAATTTTTTTTTTCAGGTTTTGTTCTCCCAAGTTAATTTTGCTGAAAAGAATAAGCAGGGACACAGGACCAAACACCGTTTGTTTTTGTTTTTGTTTTTTTAAACAAACAAACACTTTTTGTCATCCTAATATTCTAATCTTTTCACAAGGGTAAAATCACTTGGTTATCCTATTGTTTTTAAACAGTGTGGAAAGTCAGAGTAATTGATTTATTTCTTGTCTAATTGTAACTTCAGTTCTTCATTATTGTGTTTTTCTAAGATTTTTTTCCTATATAAATGCTCTTTATTTGCTTAAGGTTCTTGTTGGCCTGCCTTTAGGGAATGAAATATTGTTATGGAGTCAGCATATCCATTGCAGATGGTCTGTAATTGGTTTCTAAATATCTGGGTCATTTCACTGCTTTTTATGATTTTTTTACTGCACTCTTCCAAGCTGAGTCACAGAGGCCAGAACCTGAATACAGACAGCTTTGTTGTCTCCTGTAGGGCTGAACCCAATCCTTTTCAAATAAGCAATAAGCTGCCAGGATGAGTAAGGGCAGCAGGACCAGCCCCTCGAAGTCTAGACTACTTAGCCATTGCTGTTTTATTTTGTATATGCAAAGCTGTCTAGTGACTGCTTTCAATCAGCTTTTGGTGTTTTTAAGTTTCATATAAAGTAGTTTACCTACATACTTGTAATAAGTCTGTTATATTGCAGCCTCTTGTCTGTGGTTTCCCATGTGGTCCTAAACAAACACATGCAGGTTTGAATTATATCACAAGCCGATATAAAGTAAGAAGCTTAGGTTAAATACTTTGTCAATATCCCAGTACATCATCTTTAACACTTCTGAAATGCTACAGGCTCGATAATTTTGCAGTTTCTGAATGGTGTTTAAAAGGGAGTTTAGAACTCTTTAAATGATTTTAGAGCAGTTCTACAACTGAGAAGGGGCCTTTTGTGACCATGTTGCTGTGGTGTGGATACTTACTTAGATGTAAATTCTACAGTTAGACTGCCAAGTTCTTCTTTTAAACCTTGATGTGGAAACTTTGGCTGGTGCTATAAATTCCGTTTTTCCAGTGTTAAGAATAATTTACTTTCAAAATAAATGCACAGTTAAAGGAGCTCTTTCTAAGTTTTCCAATGCATCTGAATAGAGGGGGTTTTAAGTAATGTATATATTGCCCAAATAATTTCATTGTTACTCAGAAAAAACTTGTATCGCAAACATGTATTTTAAATATTATACATTGAATTAAACTGGTCTACAAAATTCATATACATTAGTTTTAGGATTTTTAGCATCATGCTTTCAGGTGTCAATCAACAACAACTTCTCTTTATATTTGGGGTGACTCATACTGTTCAGTAGGTAGCACTATGATGCTTTTTGTGTAAAAAAAAAAGCTGTTTCACTCTTAATGGTGCCAGAAATAACAAAAAAGAATCAAAACACCGATGCTGGAAAAAGCTTCAAGAAAAAAATTAAGTTGACTTACTGGCATGACCGTGCTGGCCCTAGAAATTACACTAGGTATCCTGACTTCATGCTAAGTGGTCAAGCACAAAGTGCATACCATACCATACACACTTTGATTGAGTCAGTGTGAGATGCATCACAATACAAGAACACCTTTTGCTAATTAAACTGATATTACTAATAGAAGAAATCCATCAATAGCAGACAGCTATTCACATAATGCATTCATTTGCACACACAACTAACGCTTGCACGCTCACTCAGTTATTTTCATTGGGTTGGAACAATGCTTGGGAAGCCAACACAGTAAACAAAAGCCCTCCCAGATGTAGGGATCACGATAGCCCACTAGTGGCTTTTTGGAAGGTGTTCAGAGTGTGTGTCAAGAAGCCACCTTTCTCACTGTGTGTGTGTACAGGGACATGGAATGAATCTGTGTAGTTGGTCTGCACAGGGCAGTTACTGCTCTCTTAGTGTGGTTAGGGTTATACAACCTGTTGTTGGGGTTGCTCGTCATCCTGTCCAGCTTCTCCTATTCTGAGTTCTCACAGATTCAGGGCCACGAGCATCTGCAGCACTGGGTTCTTGGGAGACTTTCATGTGCTGTTGCTTACCACGTCTGCTTCCTATATTTGGCTGCTGTTTTCTGATAACTAAGAAATTATTCATCCAAACTTCCACAGAGTGCTTTTATTCAGGTGAATGAAAGGTCTCTGAATGAAACAATTGTGAGACATGGTTACTGCCTCTCATCTGAGAAGGACATTGCTCTGACCTGAGTGTGGGCCAGTGAACTGAACTATTTAGAATCTGAATTAAGCACATCGGAACCTTATTTTGCAATTGGATACTAATAAGAGCTGACAAAACAAACATTTGCATGGTAAGCCAAGTGGAGAGCATGGTCCCAGAGCTTCCTTTTTTTTTCATTGGAAAGAATCTGATGAATTGAGCAGCACAGACCATCTAAATATTTGTTTTATCATTAAAATGTATTGCATCTGAGCAGTTTGAATACATGCACTTTCCTATGTAAAGTAGTTGGTGACTTTGCTAACAACATGAGTAGAAGTTATAATGAGCACTGCCTTCTTTGTGATGTAAAAAATGATGGTTGTATATATTGCATAGGTTAATCCTAGAAATTAAGGACTGGGCTTCATCCAGTAGTGCAGTGCAGCTTTCCCTCTTATCTCAAGGTAACAGTGCAGATCATGCCTGCTGGCGTGTGTAAGCCCATATTAATGTGCATCTGGGCTCTGTAAGGACCCAGAAGAGCAGCTGGCTGTGCTTGGTGAGGCACTTGGGAATGAATGGAGGGGGAAGCACAGGGACTGCCTTCCTATCTGGCTGGTTTAAAAGGAGTGGAGATCAGGAGTGAAAATGAAGGTTCAAGCAGTGAATAATTAAAGGGATTTTCCTCCCAGGAGGTGCCAAACACTCCTCAGTCATTATTTGAAGGGGAGCACTGGGGTTTTATTTCACTGATGTTAGTTGGCTGGTTGTCCTGCTTTTTTGTTCTGATTTGGAATAACACTGGAATCTTCACCTTGAATTGTTGCGGCATTTGTTAACCTGTAGAGGGTCCTAATGCTTCTATGGCTGCTTTTCCAATCAAATTTATTGGGTTCTAATCTGATTGTAAGCCATTTGTGTGGTTTGTTTATACCAACTTGTGATTGTTCTCCAAATGTGCATATCTAAAACCTATGAATATTACAAGGGATGTAGCTTAATTTAAGTGGCAAGACTAGACGTGCTATTTCTGTTTTCTGTAATTTCCATGGTGTATGTTGAGAATAGAGATATGCAAGAGAAAGTTCATCTTTAGATGTACATTTTCATAAAACAAGCTGGTTTATGTCTTCCTTTGATGCAGAAGCAAGTATTGACTTGAGACCTTATATTAAAAATAGGGGATCTTTTTCAAAAGATCTTCCAGTAGCAGAAGATACAGTAGCAAAAATGCAGCCACTAATACATCTTACTACATGCAACTAATGAACAGTCTGCGGACAAGGTGAAATATAAAACTGAGTAAATTATATCAGATTGTTGTAGCGTATGTGAAGTTGCAAGTCTGCCATCTGCTGAGCAGTATTTTCAGCCTGTGCTCAGAGCTTAATTATGGACTGTTGTTTTTTTTTTAAACTACTGAAATACTGTTATGTTTCTGAATATTGTGTGTATGCACATGTAGTAACCATATAACAAGGTATTAAAACTTAGCTTGGCATGATCAAGGCAAAATCAGTGGAAATAATATCTGCGTTCCTTGCAGTGTGGACTAGCAATGTTACCACAGGCCCACAATTAGTTTCTTCCCTCCTCACCCGACCGGCGAAAAACGAAAAAAAAAAAAATTAAGCTACTGATCATTGGTCTTCCCCTTGGATAATGATTAACATACTTTTCTGACTACAAATAACATGAGGAAAAATGCAGTTTCCATCGTGATATTTCATCACAAAACATTAATGTAGCCTGAGTTCTAATAGAGCTGCACAGCCAACACTTTTTCTTTGTAAGTACTGCTTTGGGTTATGGAAAAACAAGCTTTATTGCAGCAGCTCAGGACTGCATAGAAAATATTTTCAGAAGAACTATCTAAGCCCTTCATAGAACAGCCACGCTATTCAATGCAGCATCTCCACATAAAAGTAGGAATTACTGTATTTAAATACAATACTACTTGAGATGGGAACACAGCTATGATTAGGACATTTTATGATTATTTTCATAGTAAAAATTATTTCAACTTAAAAATGTACAAGTTTCAGGGGAAGGAAGGCTTAGTATTAATAGATGGCATAAGAATCTTAACATTAAAGACCATATTGTGTCTGAAAAGTAGATACCATTTTTCTGTTTATGTGTATTTTTTTCTAATTGTAACAGAATGCTACAGAAAAGGTTTTGCTGTGTGCATCTCTCATCATTCCTTTTCTGTCTTGCTGAACAATCCGATATAGTGTTTTTCCTGGTCTGTTCATAGCTTTGTCTTTAATAACTGTGGCAACATCTGGCTGATCCCTTCACTGTCTACTAAACTACATGAACAGCTTTCATTCTAAGAGCATCCCTTCTCTGAATTGGAGGCTTATCTGCATTAGCAATGTCCAGGAAAAATAAATCTGAATCAAAATTATCAAATAGATATTTTAAATTACGTTTTGAGACTTGCTGATGCAGAATTGAGATCATCTCATTTATTATTAAACCTTTCTTTCTTAGTTTTTAGTTTATTTGATAAATATATCCTAATGCCTAATGTGTGTAATTTTTTTTCTGTAGTAAATTGATACTGCATTTAGTATTTTTGTCAGGTGTTTGCTTGCAGTTCAAAACTCGAGGTTTCTTTCTACTTAAAAAAAATAAAAAAAAAATAGCCACTAGCTGGGTGATCGACAACAGAAAGTTTACAGACTCTACAGTTGTGTATGTCTGTGCCAACCAGAGACAATTTTCACTGAGAAACTAAAAGTCCTGTACTGTTGTTTTTACTTTCTCGGGGCTTTTCTCTACTTTTTTTCTTTTTTTTTTAATGTGTGGAAATGGCTAACCTATTTGACAGGCATCCTTTTCCGCACATCCTGTGCCTCCCTGCCCTGCCTGCAGGACATTGGTCCTGAGTGTATGCTCATCATGAAACACTTTGACCCACACGGTTACGATCTGGTCGAGTGATGGGTGTTGGATAGATGGTACTACAGATCACTGTTACTCATTGCATTTTTTTAAGGAAGCAATAGCGATGTGAATGTAAGCTGGAAACAGAGATATATCCCAAATGCTGTTTGTTCCCTTTGCTTGCAGTTAAGGGTTATGCATTAACATACGTTTCTCGGGTTCTTTGTCCTGTAGAGCAACTACCTGGTGTTCATGGCAGAACTGTTCTGGTGGTTTGAAGTGGTGAAGCCATCGTTTGTACAGCCTCGTGTTGTTGTGCATCCCCAAGGTAATTACATGAAGGATTGGTTTTGATATGCGTGTTTTTAATATGTATGAGTTCAGATAACTGTAGCGTTCCCAAACGCTGTGAATATCTCAGTTAACAGGATTTGGCTTTGCACCACCCCTTTAAAGGAGCAAAATGCTCTTTCCTCATGCTAATCTTCATCTCATCTCATAAATCATAATTAGATTTTGTTGTTTACTACAAAAGCCTCATTTGAATTATAGTGGTACAATCATTTGCAAATTTTCCTGACCTAAATAAGCCTAGAATCCATCATGCCCTTGCAGAGATTATATTCGGAATAGGGAGCCAAGATCAGAATTTAGCCTGAAAAATTGTATGGCTGAGGAAGAGTTACTGAGAGAAAGAAACAGAAATCTGGAGAGAGCAAATAAATAGTTAACTTTAACCTTGCATTTTGCACCTGGATGCACAGCACAGTTTTTTGTTGGTAAACCTACAGATTTAAAAAAACAGTTCTGGAGTAAATCTTGAGATAGTAAACATAGAGGTCATGGTAATTTAGGCGTTCATATAATACTAGTATGATAGTCTCTCCAAGAGCTGGAAAGTGAATTCTTTTGTGTGATTTGAACACCTTTTTTTGTCTTCTGGTTTGTATGATTCATAGTACTTAAAGATATAAGTTTGATTAATATTGCTAACTAATGTAAGTCGTGGCCAAAATACTGCTTCCTAAATGGAAAGTCAGTCTAGTTTTTGGGGGAAAAAAGTTTTTGTTTTTGTTTTTTTAACAGAAAACCATCTAGTTAAGAATATTTAAAATATATAAAAAAGAAATATTTTCATTTTTCATTTAAAAATAATAATAATGGTGTGACTCCTCTTTTTTTTTATTTCCTCCTTTGCCTTCTCTGGTCTGTTTTTCATTGTCTTAATCAGTGCCAATATGAAAACTGTGGAAAAGGTAAACCTGAAAGGAAGTGATTGCTTTTTTAGTCTATATAATGAAACCTCTGAACATTTTTTAAATCTTTGGAAATAATTACTTGAGTTTATTTCAGAAATCTTTTCTGCTCTGGATGTTAATTGAGTACTAAACTATGGTAACTTGAGCTTTGTTCTTTTTGGCAGCTGAACCTGTGAAAGATGCAGCTTCTGCTCACAGTTTGAATGCTAACAGAAGAAATTACATGGATGGCCCATGTGGTTCTGACTTTGTAGCCAGGTAAAGCCAGAGTGCCAGTAGTACCCTTTCAGTCTTTTAATCATTCTCTTGACAGAGTAAAGGAAGCCTTTCAGTGATCTGATCTGAACCGAGTGAATGGGAGGTAGCGTCGCATTATATTTATAAAATGAGGGCAGAAGTTCTATTGATTGCTTCTAAACTGACACAGAAAGGACAAAATTCGCATTTTAGTTGAATATTCAGAAAATTCTTCCTTGGCAGCCCTTGCTGGTAGTTGTTTTTTATTTAGGAATTTATACTGCCCTTGCATTAGGGAATACAATTTCTTACAATGATAAAATGGCATGATTCTGAATTGTTCTACTGTATGTATCTCATGTGTTTCCCGTGCAGACAATGAAGTTATTTTAGTGCAAATGAAGCTTCTATGCCAGGAGAAAAAAAAGCAGTCGTTTTGAGTATACTTTTTGGAACAGAGAGGTTCCTGAGGCCAGTTGACACCATGAAAAGCTACTGCAAGCAGTCCAGTGAAGTACTTAGCCCTTTGTTCTATCCTTTTTTTCTACAGAACATATCCCTGCTCTGACAAATTGTCAGTAACCAAGTATCTTTTTCATCTAAAAAAATATGTACATTTTGTGCAAAAGTGTACATTTTGTCTGTGCCAATGATTTTGACTTCTAAATTGAAGAGGATTTATTGAAAGCTTTAAGTTGAGCATCTAAATTCAATTCCTAAACAAACTGGTACCGTTCCAAATTTAACTATCAAGTCTGTAAGTTGCCACCATTCTGTTTTGTAACATGGCTTATTTTTCCCAGACATGTTCAGTAAAAATTGTGAAGTCTGTATGGCTGGCAGTGGATAGTGTATTCTGCAGTCTCATTGCAGCACTTGTTTAGTTTTTCTAAAAGTGATGGACATGGTTTGTCCTGGAGTATTATGAGAGCAATCTGTAAGTAGTAGAAAGAGCTATATCTTTATTCGTAGACTGATGTACTTTATACAACTTGGTGGTACTTGACAGCATTGAGAGATGAAGAAGAGGCCTGAGGAGTTATTTCAAATGCTAGAAATCTAATGTGTAGGCTGCAGTTTGCCATCAGCCAAGATTGCTCTGACTGCAGGATGTCTTGGCTTTCATTCTCGTTCCAAGTGGGCATTCCTGCCTGCTTTTCTCTATGACATTGTCACCTCAGTACACAATGACAGGAAAAAAAAAAAAAAGTAACCCAGTCAGAGAAAGTAAAAAAGTAAATGTTTTTCTGCTGGCTGAATTACAGCAATGATTCAGAGCAGACTCCAGTGCAGAGCCAGAGCAGCACAGAGGAATGGGACTGTGGCAGCAAGCAGTTACAGTGTCTGAGTTGCCATGGAACCACAGTCTTAGTGCCAAAATCAGTCTTTTCCTGAGAGAAAATGAAGCATGTAGATTTTCTCTTGGTAAAACAAATTATCAGATGCTGCTGGATTAAATGCATTTGTATTAAGACAATTTAGGAAATATTGATTTAAAAGCTTTCACGGAAATCTCAAATGCCATTTAAAACGGATGTGTTTAGCTTGTGCATTGTTATTAACACCAAAGGTCATGCATTAATGAGAAAGTCTTTTGAGTAGTTTTAATGTATACTTACAGAAGATGGTGTTGTATACTATCAACTAACAGTATTTTCCTTAAATTGACATGAACATCCTCCCCACAAATATTCTTTAGAAACATTTCTAAAGCATGCTGTACATAAACTATAAAAGCACTAGGCAAAGGTCTTGGAAGTCAATTAGAGAAAAGAGAGTTTGGGAGTCTACTTTTAATCAGTGAACGAAATTCAGAACATGAAAGGTTTTTATCTGTCATGTTTTGAAGTCTGACTTCTTTACACGTTTTACATACAAAAGCATATGTCTTCATGCATGTCTGTGTTTGGTACTGAAGAGGCACCTGGTTCAAATCACTGCATTATGTATGAAAGCCTGTTCTGGATTAAAACAGCTACTCTGTTGCAAACCTTGTCTGTGAACCAAAAAAAAAAAAAAATAATCTCTTTAAGTAGAAATGGAGAGAAGCTTTGAACTACTGTTCTAGTGATTAGTATTATTACTGCTCTTACTACGTCTGTCCACACCTTGCACATACTGCAGTTGAAACACAAAAATGTCAGATTAAGCAACAGGAAAGAGAGTTGTGTGTAAAACTGTGGTATTAGCTGCAATCACTCAACTTGTTTTTTTTGTTGCTAAAATCAAGCCTAAAAATGAGACCTTCCTAACAGTGACTTGAAATATTGTCAGGAGATGTGCACGTGAACAAAACCAGCACTGCTCTGTGGCAGTTTCAATAAGAGAAAGAGCTTTTTGATTTTGTGTCTATCTACGTTGAGTCTAGTTAAAGGTAATAATGTAGCATGCTGCTTCTAATTTGCTTTAAGAATTAGAAGCTTCTAGAATTATTATTCAAGAATAATGAAGCTTCTAATACTTCAAGAGAAGAATTGCACCTTACTTTCTCCCTTGTATGAAAAAATAAATCTTTTGTTGGCAAAGGACATAAAGTCTTGCTGTACTTTTATAATGTGGCTTTTGATGTATTGCTTATAATTTAATGTTTCTTGCTTTATAGATTGGAAAGTCCAAGTTACACACCATCTCACCAACTGCATACACCCCAGCAGCCTTATTCATCTGTCCCAGGTAACATTTTACAATTGGCTTTAAGGAATAATGAGACAAGATTCTGAATCGTTCTGAGTTAATTGTGACCTTATTTAAATTTCTTCAAACTTCATTCATGCCAGTTGTTGCTGAGAGAGTCTTACATGAAAGGCTGGTGAATGAGTTCTGTAATTTGTAAAATATACAAATGGGTAAGTTTGTGCTTGTACCACTTGCATTTTTTATTTGAACTCATTTTTCGTTATGTGAAATACGGCTTACAACAATTATTTTTAGTATATTGTAGTAGTACTTGTAGTACTACTAGTTTCACCAGGGACAAGTCCTTTTCTGTGATGCTGCAGCTGCCCAGAAAGGTGTGGTGGATGCCCCAAGCCTAGAGAATTCAAGGTCAGGCATGACCTTGACCGGCTGAGCTAGACTGATAGAACTGTAGGTGTCCCTGTTTGTTGCAGAGGAGTTGAAGTAGATGACCTTTAAATGTCCTTCCAACTCAAACGCTTCTATGATTCTGCATTTTACTCAATAATAAGTTGTTGTCTAAGGAGTAGCATATATATACAGGATGAAATTAATGAACTTAATTGCTCAAGTTATGTTCTGAAAACAAACTTCTGCTGTTGCAGTGATGTAAGTAGTGAAGCAAATTAATTTGTTAAAGCAACAAAAAGTAACTGCTACGAAAAATCATGTTAATGATTTTTGGATTCCACTTCAATTTCACTTAGGAGTCATCAGAAGGTCCTCATCAATGTCTTACGTAGATGGCTATGTAGGGACATGGCCAAAAGAAAAAAGGTAAGTAGTCTTACCATAAGAGTTGATTAAAAAGTGATTGTGTTGTAAATGTAAATGTGATTTGGATTTTCAAAATCTAGTAATTATTTTACAAAAGTAGAAAAAAAAGAGAAAACTGTATCATGGATTAAGAACTCAGCAATAGGAAACAACCCTGAGAAATAAATTATTTTTTATATGTTAAATACATTTACATTTACCTACTACAATTTAGCCAAATGAGTTAAGAGTCACATTATTAAGGAGTTCAGTATCAAAAAGTAGTACCAAAAATTCTATTAATTTCTATATAGTAAGAACAGTCAGGCTGGCGATGTCTCTGTTTTCGGTTAGACCAGTCATAATCTCTGAATGTTTAGGATATAAGCTAAAGATAAAACAGTTAGAGTTACAACGAAGGGTTATTCTGCAAATCTAAGTTGTCTTTTCACACCTTGATTCTGATCTACACTGGCAATTTTTATATTCTTCAAGTGCCTCGAACTCATTCCAACCTATAAAAAGCATTGGCTGGCTCTGAAGAAAGTGTTCTTATATTCTGTTCTGTTGTGCATTTTTAATGTATCCTATTTGCAAATGAAGCTGGTCAAGATACAATATACATAACAGTCCGTTTAATACTGCAGTCTTCAAATAACTTGTAGAACAAATATGAGTATTTGGTTATTAATCATGGGTTGCTCAGTTATTTCCTTTATTCTTATCTCCATAAGGTCATCATTACATGGAGTTTCATTTGACATTTCTTTTGACAAAGAAAAAAGCATTCCAGTATCTTCTCCAAACAGAGGTATTACTAGATCTGTGAGCAATGAAGGCCTTACATTAAACAACAACAACCGTGTGCCCAAACATATTAGAAAAAATCTGTCCTTCAGACCAGTAAATGGAGAAGAAGAAAACCAAGATATTGAAGAGGAAAAGGACACAGTAGCTCATACAGACACAAAGGCCCATCATTCCTTTAGCACAAATCAAAGAAATGCCAATGAGAGCAGTCACTGCAGGTTTCCCAACGGGGCTTTGCAAAACAGAGCCATTCTGGATGACTTTGGCAATCAGATTGAGACACCAACAATTGAAGAGGCTTTGCAGATAATTCACGACACTGAAAAATCTCCCAGAGTTATCCAGACAGACCAAATTACAAATGGATTCTTTCTTCACAATCAGGAAATGAGCATCTTGAATTCAAACATTAAACCAAATCAGTCTACCCCTGATCTGATCACAGACACTAAAGGTGCTTTAAGTCCTGTGACTGACAATACAGAAGTTGATACTGGAATACACGTTCCTTCGGAAGATATTCCAGAGACGATGGATGAGGATTCTTCTTTAAGAGATTATACTGTAAGCATGGATTCTGACATGGAAGAATCATCTAAATTTCTTCAGGATTATGACCTAAGAGCTAGCAATCACAGAGATCAATTAAGTCCCTGTCCTAGCTCAGTAAGTACTAAATCACAGGCTGGCAGTAGTGCTTCTTCAAGTTCAGGGGTTAAAATGACTAGTTTTGCAGAGCAGAAATTCAGAAAGTTGAATCATACAGATAGTAGAAGCAGTGGCAGCAGTTCTCAGAAAACCACACCAGAAGGTTCTGAGCTGAATATTCCTCATGTGGTTGCTTGGACTCATATTCCTGAAGAGGCATCTGTTCCCCAAGGAAGAGACACTACACAGTTACTGGCTTCAGAACTGGTACATCTTAGGATGAAGCTGGAGGAAAAGAGAAGAGCAATTGAAGCCCAGAAAAAGAAAGTTGAAGCTGCTTTCACTAAGCAGCGGCAGAAAATGGGAAGAACAGCGTTTCTTAACATTGTGAAAAAGAAAGGTGATGGAGTATCACCTCTCCGAGAAGAGGCAGCAGGAGCTGAAGATGAGAAGATATTCACTGACAGTAACAGACTGAAAGAAAGAGAAACTCAAAAAACAGATGAACAAACTAATAAAGCTTCAGAATCGATAAAAGAAAATCCTGAAAATTCTCACAACAAATGGTCAAAGTCTCCTGCTACTCCTATGGATGCTGAAAAGCAGTGGAATTTAGTTAGCCCCTCAGAAGAAAATTTTAGTGAAGGAGATATCTTAGAATACACCAAATCTATTGAAAAACTAAATTCTTCCTTACACTTTCTACAACAAGAAATGCAACGTCTGTCCCTTCAACAGGAGATGTTGATGCAGATGAGAGAGCAGCAAGCTTGGGTTATTTCTCCTCCTCAGCCTTCTCCTCAGAAGCAACTTCGGGAGTTTAAGGTTTCATCAAGGCAAATGGGAGCTCCATCTCCCATTGCACCTTTCTCACAGGAATCTCCCCGCTCTACACATCAATCTCCACAATCGTCCAACAGGAAGAATGCATCTTTTCACATAAAAATGCAAAGGACTCCTAGGCCAAATGAACTGAAAATAACACCTCTAAATCGTACCTTGACTGCCCCAAGGTCTGTAGATAGTCTTCCTCGCTTGAGAAGATTTTCTCCAAGTCAGGTTCCCATTCAGACTAGATCATTTGTTTGCTTTGGAGATGATGGTGAACATCTGGATGAACCACAGTTGAAGGGAAGTCTTCTGAAGGAAGTCAAGCCCACAGAAGAGGTAGCAAAAGAAGAAGGACCAAAACTTCTGAACAAGTGCGAACAGAAGTTGGAGGAAAAGGAGATAAAACCCCTTGAATCTAGTGTTTCTGAAGTATTATCTCAGCCCATAATAGAAACTGTCTGCCTCACTCCAAATGAAGATCAGCTAAGCCAACCAATGTTGCCAACAGCAGCTCCCAAAACAGCTAACTTAATTGAAGTTTCCCTATCAGATTTGAAGCCACCAGAAAAAAAGGAAGTATCTGTTGAGAAATATGAAGGTGAGAGCGATAGAGAACAATTTGAGGATGACCAGAAAGTGTGTTGTGGATTCTTTTTTAAGGTAAGAGAACTCCCTGATGTCTATGCTTGCGCACAACTTCCTCTGAAAGGGGAGCTACTTGGTTCAGATACGGTGTTTCAGTGATGACTTTGTACTGAAGTCAAAGCAACTGTAAATGTGCAAGCCTATCTTCTGCATTTGATGACTAATTGACAGCATGAGTGGTCAGATTCTAGCACATCGCAGTTCTTAGCATGACAGAGTACCCCTTTCCTAGGCATGGAAGAGTGATTGAGGGTTTTGATGAGGAAGATGTGAGCTGAGCTTTTGTGACCTTAATTAAATATGCTTACTTATCACTTCAAGTCTTACCTGCCGATTTCATGCCCAAGCATAACTAAAAGCTGGTAAAGTACAGCCTAGGTTTAATATCTCAGTTGCGCATTGAAGAGCATTTCTCCCACTGTTGCCTACTTGTGGGAGTAGAGTCTTTTGAGGCTGCCTTTTGAAATTAAAGGTTATATTCATGCGGGCTTTTAGCTATAATGTATGTAGTGAGAGGGATGTTTAGACAGTGAAAGCTGGAAAGATTCAGAGTTTCCATCTTGGAATGCCTCAAAATCTTGCAACAAGAGGTGAATAGACATGTGCCCTACTTGTCTGGGAGCATTCCTCAGTTCTAAGAAAACACCTGGCTTGATCAGCAGAAGTCATTGTATATGTTTTCTTATTATTGCTTTCTGTGATAAATTGCTTTCATCTCCATACAATGTTCCAAAGCTGAATGCAGCAGTTCATGCGGCATAGCGTCTGACTCTAAACTAAAATATTTCACTTAGCAATTTTTTTCCATCCCAGTTCAATTTTGTGTTACACTTAGGAAGTAAAGATTCTTTTTTAGTATTTTTAAGAAAAATCTTACTGAAATGATTTTTTTTCTAACTACCTCCTAACTGCGTTAAGATGTTGCAACCCATCCTAGAGTTAAGTGCCTAATGACTTGACAAAATCATTTGACTCATGTAGACATCTTAATATTTGGGTCCTTTTTCCTTCAAATGCTGTTGCTGCTAGGATGATCAAAAGGCAGAAAATGATATGGCAATGAAACGAGCAGCATTACTGGAGAAGCGTTTGAGAAGGGAAAGAGAGACTCAGCTTCGAAAGCAGCAGCTGGAAGCAGAGCTAGAACATAAGAAAGAAGAGACAAGGTAAAACTAACTACATATCCTGATCCAAATGACTGCCAACAGTGAGCATAGAAATGTCATATTTAATAGTATAACTTCCATGTCAAATAATTCATCTTGATATATATGCAAGGTTATTTAATCCCAGAGTCAAATGTGCTTTGGAGCCTAGCTGAAGCCATGTGCCAGCTGGTCATGTGAAATCAGCAGGTGGCCTCAGTCCATAGCTTACACTGAACACAAGCCCTGCTGTCCTGTGTGATGCTCCTCAGATTGTTACTCTGCCCTGCACTTGATATTCTGAGGGAGAGCTTATCAATTCAGGCTTCAATCTGCACAAATGTACAATGGCAAGTTTCTCTGTTCCTATTATTGTCAGAGAACTCTGAAGTTCTGAAAATCTAGTGCTTGCGTTTTCCCCATTGGTAATGTACTAACTATAACTGCTATCTTGGGAAGTTGCTACTGTTGAATTTATCTGATGATTTCTTAAGGCGCAAAACAGAAGAAGAACGTCAGAAGAAGGAAGATGAACGAGCACGGCGAGAATTCATTAAGCAAGAGTACATGAGAAGGAAACAACTAAAGCTTATGGAAGAAATGGATACTGTTATAAAACCGCGTTCCTTGTCAATCAAACAAAAAAAGCCGCGTCCGAAATCTATTCATAGGGATCACATTGAGTCACCTAAGACACCAGTCAAAGGTCCACCAGGTAACCCGTGTTCATGTGGAAGAAGAGTCTGTTCATGCTAAAACACCAGCTTAGGTTCTGGTACTAACAAGCACGTGCATTGAGAAGTGTCTTGTGCTAAACTGAAGCTGCACGTGTCAAAACTGGAGAGCAAAACTGGTGAATAAAAACAAAAATGTGAATGTCACCTGCTATGCGTATGTCAAGAAACAGAAACGTTGAACTGTATGGAAACCCATAGAAACAGCAATGTATGCAACAAATTTTGTACACCCATATGTATTCTTACTAGTCACTAATCTCTTCTCACATGTGACAAACAAAGAACGAGTAACACTTGGCGGAAAGGAGGTAGATACATAAAATGATCACCATAAATTAAGAGTACTTACGCTCTTGCTTAATACAGTCAGAATTACATTTTACTTTAATGTTTTGTATTATTATTCTGTTTCACTTGCTTAGCTACTGCATATGTAGTTATGAGCATCATAGCAGCACCAATCATATGGAACAGTTAATTTAGATATCAAATGACTGCAGAAATGACTGAAAGAAATGTTGCCAATTTCCAATTAGAAAAAAGTAATTAGACTGCTCTGTTATCCTTTTTGTTATAGCCTTGTAATGTCACTGGATTTTCTCTAGCAGCTTCCCTCCATTTTCCAATGAAATCTAAACTATTTCATTCACACCTTCCAAGAGTAGGCTTTAAATTCAACCTCTGAAGTTTTTGTTTTTTTTAAATGAGGTCTTTTTAACCTTTACTGCACTCTTTGCATAGTGCCCATGTTCATGCTTCACAATAATGCTCAGTTGCAGACTATCCCAAATGGCTGAGTGTCAGAAAGTGTTGAGAATACAGTGCACTAAGTATGCACGCAGGTTTATCATGTACTGAAGTAAGAGTTGCTTATATGAAAGCGCTCAGAAAGTTTTGGATGCTGGTGTTGGATCTAATGAACAGACTCTGCTACTTGTGTAGGTTTTTAAGCTTAAACTTTGTTTTTATCCAGGTTCACAGCTTTATCGTGTTTTTTCAGTATCTAGTCTTTCACTGGCATCACTGAATACAGGGGACAATGAGAGTGTGCAGTCAGGCAAGAGAACGCCAAGGTAAAGCTAAAATAACTATTTCTTTTTTTTAATCATCTATATAGAATTAACATAGATTTGAAAGAGGTGATCTGTATATTTCTTACTCAACAACAGGTATATTTTTTCTGTTGCAAGATATAGGCTGTTTACCCTCTCAGGCATTAGGAAATAAAACCGTGGTCATTTATTCCACTAATTTTACCAAGTAAACAAATCGAGCAGCTGTAAATGAGGTGAAAATGTGGCCTCTTGAATTCATCTGTTTGAAGTCTCATCTTGTCAATGTTTTACTAAACCAGTGTGCTACCTGCAGCTAGATAGCTTCTTTTCTTTCCTAACATAGTAACTTACTTTCTGTGATTTCCTCTAAGTGGTAGCACAGGAAAGAATTGTGTTCACTGGAGTTTCAGGCTTTTCTGAACACATGTATCTATTTTGCATTAAGAAGTACCTGAAAATGAAATCACAGATGACTCATAGTGAATTTCAGAACCAAGTTTGAAGTTACCTTCATGCGTATTCTGTAAAAGTATTTTATAAAGAATGTGAATCTACTCTCTTAATATTGTAGCTTTTAAAGTAGTTTTTAAAACTAATGTTTAGATCTGAGTCTGTGGAAGGTTTCTTATCTCCGAGTCGCTGCGGTAGTCGTAATGGTGAAAAAGATTGGGAAAATGCATCTACGACTTCTTCAGTTGCCTCCGCTACAGAATACACAGGTCAGTGACAACAATATTCAGGAAAGTACCTGTCTATTATTAGTGGTTCTGTGCATGAAAATGCTTTGATTATCTGCGTTACGAATCTTAAAACTTTGTAAGGATGCTTCCATAGCAGTGAAAATATCTAAAACATGGTTATAATACAAGATGAAAATATTAAGTTCAAAATAAAGGTACTGACTCAGTAGCACTTCTAAACTGCAGTTAGGCTCAGAACAGCAGATGGACTGAAAAGTTACTCTGTGCATTTCGATCTGTCTAGCAAGGCAAGAAGAGTAAAAATCTAAACTCGATTTAGAATAGTGTGACAAAAAGCAAAAACAAAATTGCAACGGGGAAGTAGTTTTCTTAGTAATGTGAATTTAAATATTCTGGACCTTTGTTTCCAAACAGATGCTTTGTGGTTTATTATAACCTTCACAGTCAGCCTTCTAATTCTTTTATTATGAATCAAAAAATAATGGTGTCTTCATCCATCTTCTCCAAACATATACCATGTGATAATGCAAAGACCACCATCATTATAAAGACTGTGCTTTTGCCCACGGTGTTTTGCCAGACTGTGTTTATTAGTTGACTTGTCATTCTTCCCCTACAGGACCAAAGCTTTTCAAAGAACCCAGTGCTAAATCCAATAAGTATATAATTCAGAATGCTCTGGCACATTGCTGCTTGGCTGGAAAAGTGAATGAAGGTCAAAAGAAAAAGATACTGGAGGTAAGGGTGTTTTTTCCCTAAAGGTTAAACGCCTGTGTCAAACCATGACTAAGATACTAAGAAGACAGGTGAGTATAAATGCAGATATTGAAAGGAACCTTTCTCTGAGATGATGTCAGCTCTGATGAAAAGATTTGAGTAATTTCTGTGGCTTGTTTCCTCTGTGAGCAGAAAGGTTCTCTAGTACAATAGAAACAACAGCTTATCACATTGGATGTGCAACATGGGAAGCTGAATTAATTAAAAGGCATGTTATTTAACTAATAGCTACTATCTGTTTAATGTGGGAACTTGAGTATGAAGATTGTTAGCATTTCTTCACACGCTTGCTTTTTGCAACATGAAAAAAAATTCATTTTATTCATAAGGATCCTGCAGTTAGTACCCTTACAACTAAAGCTACTTTTTGGAAATAACAAATGAGAAGTCAATACAGACTCCTTCAGTCCAAGTAGGAGAGCAAAATAAACCCTAGAAACCTTGGGAAAGAACAGCTGTAAAGTGGTCAAGCTTATCTCTAGAATGCAGCATGCATATTCAGAGCACATCTCATAGAATTTCTGTTGGGTGGAGTAGGAATCTGAAGGTTTCAGCTGACAAAGAATCTTTGCTTCGTATGTATCAACTGACTTAATTTGACCAGGCTTCACTGCATTTAGGGATGACTGGAACCCTTTTTAGCACTATCTTTTGGGCACATCTGGACATATATATATTTCCTGTTTTTAAACTTGCTTGGAAAATTATAATGATTGAAAATAAGGTGTTCTAACAGAAAGAGTTGCACATAAGTTTTAGCTCGGATAGAAAACAAATAAAAAATGACAGTGATAATTTTGAATGTTTTCTAATGACAATGCAAAATTCAAATTGTGAATCTTTTTTCTGTTTTTTTTGTTGTTTTTTTTTTAAAGGAAATGGAGAAATCTGATGCCAATAATTTCTTAATCTTGTTCCGGGATTCAGGCTGCCAGTTCAGATCTCTGTATACATACTGCCCTGATACTGAAGAAATTAATAAATTAACAGGGATAGGTCCCAAATCTATCACAAAGAAAATGATCGAGGGACTATATAAATACAACTCTGACAGGAAGCAGTTTAGCCACATACCTGCTAAAACTTTGTCTGCCAGTGTTGATGCAATTACCATTCACAGCCATTTGTGGCAAACCAAGAGACCAGTAACTCCGAAGAAACTTTTACCCACCAAGGCATAGTAGATGAGAGAAATTTCGCTTCAGACAATTATGATAAACTTGCACTTCATCTTTACTGCCTATAGGAAATAGATCTCTAGTTGCCAACAAGACTCTTAGAACTTAAAACTGGACACAAAGTTGTATTACCATGTCCAACTGGAATGTAAACACAGTGTTTAGGAGTGCAGAAGATTGTCGCTTAAGTGAATACTCTGAGTGATTATGGAAATGTTTGACTTGTGTGGAGATCTGTACGTGCTAATACAATGTACGGAGTACGCTCTGTATTTTGTTTGGATACACTGAAGCACTGAATGTTCATCTTTAGTGATCAAACTACATTTTTTTTTACATCCGTTGCCTTATATGTTAGTATTTGTGCTTGTCTTGAAATTCTGTTTTCTCTCTTTAGAGAGAGAAATACTTCCTAATATCCTCAGTACCATGGAACTTTGCTTATTTACTCTTACACTAAAGACTCTACAATGGTATATGTTACAGAAAAACAGCTGAATGAGTCTGTTCTGCAAAATCCTTATTGAGTACTGTAATAAAATTAGCTCATTCTCCTAAGTAATTGTAATTCTTTTTTAATTAAATAATACTGATTTGCTTATAGACTAAACACTAAAGCAAAAATCCTTCAATTGTTTTAAAATTCCCTTCAAATAAATTATTTAGTAAGTCAGGGTGTAGTCGAATAAAGGAATTATTCCTGTCCTGGGAAGTTACCATCTGAGATCTAATGACTGACTACGTGCGTGTTCATAATCCCATTAAAATGCAGAGCAAAAAGATTTGGCAGAACTCTAAACCAGTTTAAGCAAAAGTGCATTATTTTGCATTGTTGCAGATAAAGAAAGAGCACACAGCTACTATGTCTCCATGGCGGGAATAAAAGCTCATGAAAAACAATCAGGACTGGATGGCTGATATTCGCCTGATAGAACACCAAAAATATTCAGAATCACAGAATACACTGAGACACAGATCTTTTGGAAGCACCATATCTAATTCCCACTGATTGTAAGATTTAGGCCACTGCTTATTCTTTCTTTCTGCCTTCAGATCAGTTTTCCAGGGAACAGGCAATTGATTTCAGAATTTTCAGTGTCTTAGTAAATTCCTTTCTTGATGTGTGCTAACAGACGATGGCTTGTGACACTTAACAATTAGAAACACATACGGCAGAAATGGCCTAAGGGTACATTTCAATAAATTGATAGTATAATCATTTACAAAGATAAACTTTAAGCATATTTCAGTATTATTTACAAAGGGCTGCATTTTGTTTCAAAACAGTGTTTGATTATGTTACAGATTACTCTTCTGTTTGATGTTTCTCTTATAATTTGCTTTTAGCATAGCACTGTTCTGAAAAAAAAAAACAAAACAAAAACCAAACTACAAACTTGAAGCCTCCCCTAAATCTGTGGCTATTTTGATAGTGTACATCAGAGGATTTGTTGGGGGAAAAATCTCATTCTCAGGAAAAGACTTGAATGATTTGTGATTCTGTTCTGTTTCAGTGTTGCGACACCTACATTAACATAAGACAGTGTTGTGCTATAAGTGTGTGCTCCATTCTCTTTCATAAGGACACTAAAATTAAGTTCATATTTCTCTCATTAAAGTGCTTTGAGAGAAACAATGCCTCACTACTATGATGTACTCATTTACTTATACAAAGATGCACCTGAATGAGATACCATTAAACCGTTTAGAACAGTACTTTTTTAAATTATTATGAAGCCTTAGGCATCAATGCATCTGGGTTACAAATATTTTCTCAAAAATGCTGTCAGTTTTACTGTAATTTATGTTCTTATATTTATGTATATTTGTTAAATCTGTAAAAAAGAAAAAAAAAAAAGAAAAAACACTTTAAAATATGTTTAATATGTTTGTGGCTCAAAATTATTTGTGGTTAGCAGATTCCTATTGCTTGCATGTATATCACCAGGATATGTAACTCTTATATTTCAAGTGTATACATATTGTGTATATAGCTATAAATAATATTAAATGGGGCAAGAGGGTTTGCACATTCTGCCTGTTAGACAGTTCCTGCAAATACCATTGTAGGAATATGTTGAGTAACAGTGTGAAATTGTGTATAATATACAGTGATAGAAGAAACCAGAAGGCTGGAATCAACTCTTACACGTGTCGAAGGACTTCACAGGAAGTTTAATAATGGGAGGATTTTCATTTCTAAAACATGTATTATGATTTAGCTGGTAACTTGCAACACCGTGAAGACACACATTGATCTAATCAAAGTGAGCTTAAGTACATAACAGAGGAATTGTCTGATTCGTTTTAGATATATCTGAATGTATTAAAGAAATCTACACTTGTCAGCAGGTGAAAGATTTGTGCAATGTTTAAAAGTAGAATGTGAATAATGCAGCTGAAAAGTTCATTGCTCGCAGTATAAAGTTTTACTTAATACAGGAAAAGTAAAGCTAGATGTGCTTTTCCTTTTTAAGCCTGCAAATTTTCTAATTACAGTGGGTCTGCGGTTGGGATCATGTTTAAAAAAAAAAAAAATTAAAAAAATTAAAGTAAATTGAAAACATGAAAATAATAAGGAAGCTTTCCGTGAAGGCCAGTATTTATCACTGACCTTTTCAGAACACACTGGTGCTTTCATCAGGGGTATTACTGTTGTTGCTATGACTGAATTGCCAAACTATCATGTTAGGTTTTGGAGCAAAATTTCGTATTCTAACAGTCACAACAGCTACTGATTTTTTTTATTTTATTTTAGGATGACTGTTAGTTTTTATTATTTGGCTGTTTAAAGCCAAATTCAGCTATTTAATTGATTTAATGGGCAATGTTGGAAAATGTACAGTGTATTGTGTGCTTACTTGTCCACTTCTATGGAGCATAGCTTCCATATTTTTTCAAATGCTGTGCTGTAAAATATTGTCATTGCTACTTATGTGGTACCGTTGTAGTTTTTTCCTTTCATTTAAATAAAAGCATGGCACCAAATGTGTATTTATTTGTTCTCGTGTTTACTCCTAAACAAAAATGGAAGCTATATGAAGTCCACATTCATGCTTAATTTTTCTCTTCATATGGCATTTCAGCAATGCAGAATTTTTAAGAAGTATGCAAATTTTTATTTCTCTTTTTTGTACTGCAGTCTTTCACGTATAATTTAGCTTATAAATGTTGGTTGAACCAGGCTAATGAGTAATTAGGCTTCTCGTTACCTTTTTGCAGTCTACACAGAGTTGTCCTGTTCTCTTCAGAGGTGAGTTCCACAATTTCAAGTCAACTGATAGAACTAACTGGACTACAGAGTTGTGTGTTAAAAAAAACATACAAACTTAGTGGTCAGTGTAATAGGATTGCTTCAAAAGGGCAAGTTTTCGAGATGCTCTCATCTTGAGCAAGATGATTAAGACAGCTAGTAAAGAGGGACTTGTGTGAAATAAGTTGTATTTGTTAGTTTTGCAATTCTGAAGAGAAATTGTATTTAAGAAAAAAAAAAGCCCTCCCTTTTAGATACATTAATTAGTGTTTTTTTTCCATCCTAAGTTTTTCATGTGTGTACGTGTGTGTGCTGTGCTGGATTGCAGAGCAAGAGCAACGTTCTCTGCTGAAGTGGGACACGACATCACTGCAACACCAGCAGGCAAAATGAATTGTTGTGCTGACACAATGTCTAAATATTCAGATTTACTCTAAGGGCAGCTTCAATAGGATAGGAAATTCAATACCAGGACTTCTAGCAGTGAATTTAAAACTGATATAGATGAAATTGAATAGTTTTCCCTCCTTTCCTCAAAACTGCTTATTTTTCAGCCAGATCAGTCACTTCCCTGTACAGCATTACAAACAGTTGGGAACATACAAATGCAGAGTTAAATGTCTGCATACTTTAAAACTTGCTTGAATATGAAAATAATAGAAAATGTAAAGACTTGAGTGGGTCTGTAATAATCCCTAAAAAGCATGAAGATGCTTTGCACAAACTGCTGAATGCTGGTGGCAGATAAGGTGCAAGGTCAGCATTCCAAGAAGGTATCTTAGCCCTCTTGATATGGTATGTGGCCACCTGCATTATCTATATAATAGTCCCATTTTTTTCTCTAAGGCAGCACGAAACAGACTGCAGTGCCTTGCCTTGTTACTAGCCAGTGCAGAACTGCTCTACTAATCCTGATTTTCAGGCTCCTTAAATACCCACACCCAACAGCTTTGCTATTCACGGAGTCACCTTCTTGTGCCATAATGACTAGGGAGTTCAAAGCAAGCTGAGGCTGCCCCGAAGATATCCTGCTGTGCCAGAGTAAAGTTTTGAACAGCCAAAGAACAGGAGCTTCTATCTCCCCTTTTCCAATAGGATGCTTCTACTATCCTCTCCAGAATTATTAACTGCTCAAGCAGGCACATCAAGTAATGCTAATGGTTCATCCCCCTCCCCGAGGGCAGATCCTTGGTTCAGGAAATCTCTTTCAAGACTCTAGGAATTTACTGCTTCCCTGGGAAGAGCCCTACATTCTCCATAGGAAACAGAATAGTTGTAAATTCAGAATTTGTTATTCCTTTGGAGTCTCTAACTTGGGAGAAGCCTTACCGTTCTTTCATACCAGAACTCTTGCCCTCTAGAGGTGGAATCTCACAGATTTGATCTCCAAACCTCCCCTGAAAACAGTTACAGTGTGAGAGATTGGTAAACCACAGCAAAGCCATTTGTGAAACAGAGATAAAATTTTAAAATGTATGTGCTCGGCTATTGCTTGGTTAGCTTAAAGTGTTTTTTCATCCATATGTACATTCTGCAGATGTTTTCAAGTCATTTTTCCTATAATTGCTGTTAAGTCACTTCTATTAAGAAACAGAAATGAAATTTTCTATTAATCTTTGCCTCTGGATGTAATCAAGTGACAGGCAATAGCTTTTGCAGCAGAAGGGAGGAGGCTGTTTTAGCTAGAGAACCCAGCCAGCCTTTTGGGATGCGGTGCTGAGACCTCGGTGCTGCAGAAGGAGCCGGCAGCTTCCAGTCCTGGCTAATCCTGTGCGTAGTCACTGCTGCTTAGCCAGGTGGCACCTTGCCCAAGCTGCTCCTCATGGGCCTGACTGCAGGACATCTCTGCGCATTCCTTTCGGAAAGAAGAAAGAGAACAATATTATGAGGACATTTCCCAGCTGCACTTCAGCTGATTCTTAACAAAACAGTTTGCAAGCTGGATCAATGCACTGCGCTACTTAGCTTTTTTAGCTATCAGTGTGGGAGAATCCAGATTGTTCCCTGACCACCTGTCACACATCATACACATGTAATTAAAAGCGAATCAGGTCTCTACTTCCTCAATTAGAAGACTGTCATCCTCCATTTCAACAGGGCTAGCCATGCAGTGTTGTGTATGTACCAGAATTTTGTCTATGTGGAGCACTGGCATTTTAATACGGTTTGCTTAAACTCATCTCAATGCAATATCTGAACACAGAGAAAGCATAGTTTGTGTTCACATAATCGGTCTTAGCTGCTGTCTTCTGAGAATTATGAAGATGCATTAAACTTAACTGAATGTTAAATCATACGGAAATGCATCTTTGTATCTCCTATACAGCATGTGTAAGTCTGACGTTTCATGAGGAACGCACATTTTTCCACCGATTCTGCCCTGGAGGGAGCCGGCACCAGGCTGGGGAGCAGGGACAGGGCCCGCTCAGCGCCGTCACCCGGGACGCGAATTACAGACGGGCACTCGGCTACACGACATCCTCGGCGAAGACGAGGCGGGTCCCGCAGCCCTCAGACGAGCGCCGCAGGCCTCGGGGCGGGCCGCTCCCAGGGACGCGCCCGGAGCCGCCGCGCTGGGCGGGGAACGCCGACGAGCCCGCACTCGCCGGCCCGGCAGCCGCAGCGGCTCCGCCGCCCGACTCCGCCCCACCCCGCCCCGCCCGCGGTTCCCTCTGCGCGGGCAGGGCCCCGCCGCCACCCGCCGCGGCCCGGGCGCGGTAGGGGGTTCGCCCCGCCGCCGACAAAGCGCGGCCCCGCCCCGCCGCCAGCCGCTCCCCGCCCCCGCGGCGACGCCCAGCTCCCTTCTGGCTTCCACTCGGGCTGTGAGCAGGCACTCCGCCCCGGCGCGGGGAGGGTCCTGGACGCCGGGCGGCGAGTGCGAGGCCGGGCGGCGGCCGCAGCGCCGAGCGACAGCAAGACCCCGTCCGACCGAGCGCGACCCCGGGCCCGCCCCGCAGCGAGGCCTGCCGCCATTTTCTCCTCACGCCCCGCGGCCGGCGCGCGGACGGGCCGCCGGGCCCCAGGTGAGCTCGGGCGGGACGGAGGACGGGAGCCGCGCGGCGGAGAAGTCGGGCCGGGCTGAGCTTTCTCCTCGGGGCCGCGCTGCGGGACGGGCGCTGTCCGGCGGTCCCCGAGCGCAGCTGGGTGCGGGCCGGCCGTCTCCGCGGCCCGTTCCCACCGTAAGGCCGCACCGCACGGTGCCCGCCGCGCCTCCCTCGCGCCGGGGCGCGTCGACGCGGCGCCGCCCGGTTGCCGACGTCCCTTTGTTGCGGCTCCGCGGGGCGGGCGGCTTCTGTCGGCCTCGCGGCGCGGGCCCGGCCAGGTGCGAGCCGCAGGGAGCTCCGGGGCCGCTCTGCGGTCCTGGCCATTCGCCCCCGGCCCGGGCCACCTTTCGGGGAGCGGCCTCCCAGGCCCCGCACTGTGTGACGGCTGAGGGGCGTCCGCCTGGCGGCACGTGTGGGGACGAATAAAGGCGATCTCGGAGCAGGTGCGCCGCAGCCAAAACGCGTTCGCTTGCTCTGTAAGCCGTTCGCGTTCTCCGTTGTGTTGTGTGGAAGCGCTGCGTGCCTGAACGCCGCTCCCCGGCATTGGCTCTGCGCGGTGCTGAAATGCCCAGAAATACAAGGAAGAAGTACTGGAATTCCCAGCCAAGCTCTGTGAGGGCACGTTGCGTGCCGCTGGCCCATTTGGGAGGGATGAAGACAAAGGAGCAATGCTTGTTTGGAGTTTGACAACTCATTTGTATTTCACAACGTCAGACCTTGCTGCAATTGTCATGTGAGTGCAGATGCAATTACATTTTTCCTAAGAAGGGTAACTTAGAGACTATCCCAAACTCACTTTCCAGTTTACAGGCGTTCTCCCAAAGTAGTGTACTTATGTGTCTGTTTACGTTCCTTAGAAAACAATGCGCTTGTGATGCCGTGGGGCAGTTGATGCCGTTGGTTTGTGCTTAGAATACGAGTAAGAGCAGAGCAAGAGTGAAAGCTCTCCCTGGGAAGCATAGAAGTAGATAGGTTACGTTCCAAAGAGCTCAGCTAAAGGGCATCTTGTGCATTGGAAGCAGAGAACAGGTGTGTCAGCTGGGTGGCAGGGGAGCTGGTTGGATTTTTCAGTTTTTCTTGATATTGGTTTATTTAGGAGATGGTTATGGGGACTTAGAAGGGCGACAGATGTTGGAATGGATTGCTATGAAAAGATGGGGTAAGAAAAAAAGGTACTTTGTCAGCAGAGGACACTGAAATTTGCAGCTTTAATACTCCTTTATCATCAGTTATACCTCATGTTAATGCTGTGCTTTGGTTGTTCTTGGTATTAGTGCTAGAGCTGATCAGACTGTGACGCTGTGTTGCCATATGTGCTGGCAGAAAGCAGTGCTGGGGATGGACCAAAGATGCAGCTGAGCTCTAATCTCGAGTTTCCCTGATGTTTGATTTTCATTTATTATTATGTTCACATTGACTGTTAGAAAAACTGACTTACTTCAGTGTCATGTGTAAAACTATATATAGCTGTGATGTCATGGTGGTGTTACAGCACTGCTGATTTTTTTGACAGCGTAACACAGGGGAGTCTGGGCTCATCAGTCTAAAAGAACTTTCTGTTAAGTGAAGAACCTTCTTCAGTAGGTTTACCCTTATTTTCTATCTGCGTGTCTGATGGCAATGTTGCTCTGACACCAAATGCGCGGTGTTTTCATAATCTTGCTGATTTATGAGCTTACTGGTACGTTTCAAACTGTCTTTTGAGGATCAGCATCCAAGCTGCATGTTTGAGTTTTCTTAGCAGGATGCCAGAGGTGCCATTATTCATTCCACGTGAAATGGTGGGGTGCTGGTCATCCTTTATCCAATTTATGTGGGGAATATAAGTAAGGAAAAAGAACTTGAGTTTTAGAACCTATGGAAATAATTCAAGGTAATCTTGAAGGTCTGTATGGTGACTTCCTGCTTAGAGCAGACTCCAATGGATCCAGCAGCAAAGAAAGCTGGGGTGTGGATGTTCCTTGCTTCAAAGAGAGTATTACCCTGAACTGTGCAGATGGTTTCCTGATGGCGAGGCTCAGTACAGGTTTGACTCAGCTTCACTTCGTTATTTGCCAAGGAAGCCATGTAAGTTGTTTCATGTAACCGCCAATGCGATAAAGCAAAGTAAAAGCTAAATGCAAATGTTTTAGATGAGGCTAGGAATGAAGAAGTTAATGCTAAACTCCTGGTTGAATTTGTGTTTATTTCTTTTCCAGTCTGTAAGGATGCAATTGAGTTTTTTTTCTGGGACCAAAAATCCTGACCCGATTGCCAAAAGGAGAAATAAAAATGGTGCTAAAATGTGAGGAAAGAGCATTTCGCTAGAGGTGCTGGCTCTGGGTTTGTCTGCTGTCTGTCCATCTGTTTGCTTTCCTGCAGAAGGGTGCTCTGCAAGCCAGATCTTAATTTTTTCCCTTGACTTCACAGCCAGGAGTGGGTGGGCAGTCCCTGGGTGTGTCTGCCCTGAGCCCATCCAAATTGCAGGTGACTGGGGTGACTGCAATGAGAGTCAAACCCAGCTGCTGTAAGAAGGCCATTTGTGTCTGGCGCAGCCAGGTCTCTGGTGCTCCAGAATAAATTGTGCTGCTATCATCAAATGTGTTCCAACACTCTGGTGAAAACCTCATTGGAAAAAAGTTGGCATGTGGTCATAAGGAGAATGAAGAGGAAAACTCTTTCTTTATGCCTATTTTTTTTCAATTGCTTGAAGTTCAGTAGCCTTGGCTTATCAGTTTCACTGGAGTATTTGTATCTTCTCATCTCTAGGGAGAAATTAGGGTATTGTGACTTTTTACTGTGGATGCTTTGCTCTGTGTGTTCATTTGTTCTTTTGATTGCTTTCATTCTACTTAGCTCATTTCTGGGGATATGGCTTCCTGCTGGGGGCTCATCACTGATACCAGCTTCTTGTTTTTGTATGCTCTCGTAATCCATTTAAGTCATTTTGCAGCTTTGCTCCTGCCAGAAGGTGTGGTTGTGCTGGTTCCACATGTCAGCAGTAGCGCCCCATGCCTCCCAGGCGAGCAGGCAGGTGCTGCGTTGGTGCCTGGCCTTCTGTGGTGCCAGGGGGCAGCTGGAGAGCTCCTCACAGCCTGGGCTGCTCCCAGGCACAAGCTGGTGGAAGAGCTGCCCCAGTGGCAGAGGGGAATGGTGCTGAGGAGGGAGGGGAATGGTGCTGAGGAGGGGCTGGGAGGAGGCAGGTGAGTGAATGGGGGGCTCCAGCAGTCAGCGGCTGAACTGGGCTGTCTTGGATTTGCAGAGTGAGATTGTTCATGAAGCATGCAGGCAGAAATAGGTGTCCTTTTAGAGGGATAACAGAAAGCTTTGGTTAAACCTCCATTTATAGCTTCAAAAAAGGGCTGAGGTGTGAGCTTGCTGTGCTTTTTAGCGTGCTTCACTTTTTGTATGTGTTTCTAACAAATCTGGTTTTAAGTTTATACGTAAGATGTCTAGATAGAACGTAGTAGCTGGGGAATTCATATGCCCTTTGAACTTCTCTGAAAGGCGAATAGTGAGGTGCAATTTCACATATAGTTCTTTTACTGCACTGGGATTGGTGTCTTGGTAGACTGGTTTCTCTGGACCCTATCTATTCATAGAGAAGAAATGTAAAGGTGTGGAGTTAGTCTTATTGGAGGCCTTTTAACCAACATCTTGAATAAACGAAACTTGGAAGTTGATTTTTATTTTTGTAATGCTACAGTGTTCTGTCCTGTAAAACGATGGAAGAAATCTGAGTAGTCAACAGTTGGTAAGCAAACAAAAAGATATTGATCATCACAGAAATTCTCTCTTTCCTTTCAGGCTGCCATCATGACGGCTGAAGAAACAGTGAATGTTAAAGAAGCTGAAATAATTAAACTGATACTAGATTTTCTGAACTCAAGGAAGCTTCATATCAGTATGCTGGCGCTTGAGAAAGAAAGCGGGGTCATTAATGGCCTGTTTTCAGATGACATGCTGTTCTTAAGGTAGGCCTTTCTCCTGTGCTTCAGTACCATGTGTATGAAAGGATGCTGTTGGACTATGATTCCATGGGCAGCTCCATGACATTAAGGGGGAGTTCTTGTCTTGTTCTTCTGTTTCCTCATCCCAGTTGTGTGGTCCAGCCCTGTTCTGTGTTTCATCTCTGAAGTTAACAAATGAACAACTTAATGTAAATGACTAAGCATCCACGTAGGCTCTAGAGTTAGGTTTGTTTGTTTGTTTTCTTGTTTATTCACATGTTCATTCATTTTGACTTAGTTATTTTCCTGGCATGCTAATGAATTTAAAGTCGGAAGGAGTCTTAACACGTGTCAGTGTCAGCAAGGGCTAAGTTGGGCAAAGCACCTGAGCAGGAGATGGGAGAGCAAGATCTTCTAGCAGCAGTGATCTGTTGTTATCTGCTTATTATGTCACGTGGAAATGAGCATGTCCTTGATTGGTTCCAGATACAAATAAAATATTCTTATAGTCTACTAGTACTAAGATCTGGGATGAGGTACCTGCGGTCATGGAGGCATGGAAGTTTGTGTCATTTACCATTAGTAGTACTGTCCTCTGAATTATTAAAAGCAGTTACTGTAGATGCAGTGTAATACTTCAGCGTTGTGGTCTCCTATGACATGAAATATCATGTGGGTATTTAAATTATTTCATGTTTGCAGAAGGTTATTATCTGGTTATTCTTAATATGTAAATACATAAATTACTGAACAGATTTTCTCATGTAGCTTCTCTTCCAGTGAGATTACAGGTACTGGGATAAAATGAAAGAACTAAAGAGATTGAAATTAGTAGTAATACTTGTTTGTTTCATTCTTAGTTAATTCAGACTATGCAACTCATGAGGAATGCAGCCTTTCCTTCTAGAGCTGGACTTTTAGGGAGTATGGTGTGCATTGGGAGTTGAAGTAATCCACTTGTGCAACATAGCACACTATTCACATAGCATAGTTATTTCCAAGCTGTTGCTTTTATATTCTTAATATAGGTGCTCTGCACCCCTTTGTATAAGAATAGGTCCAACAGTATTTATACAGTTAAAATTAACATATTTTTAAGTCCGCTTCAATTCAGCAGTGTCTTCCTTGAATAAATGTATTTAATTAAAATTTCTTACTTGAAGAATACTCAGTAAGAATTACAAGTGAAGCAGGAAACACAGGACCATTTAATCTTCATTGATATGTCTTCAAAAGCATCAGTATTTGTACCTGCATGAATTTTTTTTTACACAATGCTGAGATTTGTGTTTTACTGTATCGATCATTTTAACATATGTGCAAAGCATTAATTTTTCCAAACAGATTGATCAACTGTTTTACGTTTAAATATCCAGCTGTCATTTAAGTGTATAGCTTTCTAAGCTGGTTGCTTACAAAGAAGGATAATGTGCTTGTCTGGTGAAATGAAAGCAGTGTCTTTGTTTTTCTCTTATTAGGCAGTTGATTCTTGATGGTCAGTGGGATGAGGTTCTTCAATTTATTCAGCCTCTCGAATGTATGGAAAAATTCGACAAGAAAAGGTAGAATAGAGTATATATGTCTCTGTGTATGAGTTACATTGTCCTTGGGAGTGGTTGTGAGAAATATAAGAAATTAAATATTCTTTATGGGAACAGTAGGTTTCAGTTTTTGACTGTTTTGTGTGTGTGTGTGTGTGTGTGTGTGTGTGTGTCCTGTATGCAGTTCCTGATTGCATGTGGATGTGTTATTTATACTTGAAGTTAAAAAGCCTCGTGCACAGAGGGTGTAATGGGCTTTCATTTGCTTTACATCTTCGGAATGCAGTGCTGCATCTTGAAATGTTCTTTTACATTTGGATGTGCTTTTATTTAAGAAACAAGTGTGCTTGCTTTACTTTTTTTATCCCCTTATGACCCTTCAAATACTTTTAATGTGTTATTTTTGAAAGCAGTGATTGAAGAAGAACACGTCCTGCTAAAATTTTGTGGTTACAACTCTGTTAAACTTTGATCAGAGTTTCTTAACACAGTCACTTCTATCCCTAAATCAAAAAATAGCTGTAAAATACTTTGCTTGTTTCTAAAAGAATATTGAACTACTGGGTCGAGATGGGTAATATTTCACTACTTGCCTGCAGATTTCGTTACATAATTATGAAGCAGAAGTTCTTGGAGGCCTTATGTGTAAACAATGCAATGTCAGCAGAAGACGAGCCTCAGCATGTAAGATCTGTCTTTGTTTGGGGAATTTTATATTGGCAAGAAACTTATTCACGTGGTTTAATTAAAAGAAAAACCAATGCTCCCAGACTGAATACCCAAATTCTATCTATTACCAAATGGTTTCATAAATAATGGACAAACTAATTGGTGTCCTTTGGAAGCGAATGTGATCCTCAGGTCTCAAATAGAATTTTATATGCAAGGGTTACTTGAAAAGTGGCAGTATAGATCAGTGACCGTATGTCATCTTTTGGTCTTGAAATTCACTTTAGGCCATTATGCTAAAGAGCAGTGCTTTGTTTTCAGGAGGGCTCTGAGGCAGGCCTGAAAATCAGGGAAATTTATTGTCAGAGTCAGGTCCAAATGAGAGATGAAATTGATCTTAACCTTCTTTTCTGTTGCTTTTAAAGAGGAAAAGATGCTGTTGTTTCTTTGATGGCAACAGATGCAGTCACAAAGGACTGACTGAATTAAATAAGCAAACAGAAGGAGCTGTAACTTAGATTTTCATATGGAGACATGAATGGCAAATTCAAGTGACAGAAAAGGCCTGCTGTCTGTGGACTTAATCAGAGTTTCATTTGTGTTTGTGATACAGTAGTAGTAATTTTCTAACACAAAGATTATCAAATGGAAAAAAAAAAAAGGATTCCAGTAGTTCTCAGACAACTGATTTTGTTTTGAGAACTGAGTTAACTTGAATTCTCTCTCATTACATATACTACAGAGTCTTTTCTTGACAGTGTAGACAAAGCTTGAAGTAAGTGCTGTAAAGGGATCACACACTTCTGTAATCAGTCTGTCTGTACACAGTTATTAGATAATGGTATAGGAGAAGATGGTCAAATCCATTTCTTATTTTTGTGCTGAATGTTACCAGATGTGGAAGCATTTGAGGGTGAAAGGCTTGTACGTTGAGAATGTGCTAGGGAACAGAGGTAGGATGTTACTGATTTTGTTTTTATTTTTTTAAAGAATCTTTTAAACTAAAGATACTGAGTTAGGTGTATTTAACATGTTTTTCTGACTTTTTTTTTTCAACAAGCTTTCTATTAAAAGCCATGTAGTCATAGGTGTTATCTGTGGAGGTTAACTTTTTTAACTTCTTTTTTAACTCTTTTTAACTTCTTTTAATGCTTTCCTGATCGGAAAACAGAAAACATTAATATAAAAGACAAATGAAATTTGCTAATAACTGGAAACTAGAGAAATATGCCACTTTTTATAATTATGCTGATATCTTTCCATAAGCTTGGGGGGGAAAAATATATGTATATAGAGTTGGCCCTGAGAATGGAAGTAACCTTCTGTTCTATAATAGAATTGAAGCTGTTTAGCTGCAGATGTGAAGTTTTAAGCCTGCAAAATCTGCGGTGATGTGAAAGTTCCACAGGTCTGTAGAAAGTAAGAGCAGGAATGGGGCAGAAGGTGGAGATTTCAGGAAGTATAAACATCCAGGAATTTGACTCTGTAAATGCATTTGCATCAGCAATTTTGGACTTAAAACAGCGTGTGCTATTTTGGTTAAATAGAAACAGTAATATTAATAAAGGAATGGTAGTGGAAAAATCCTGCCACTGCACATTCTTCTTCTGCTAACTATAGAAACACGCGTACTATGAGCTACTCTGCTGATTTGAACATTTCTGTAGCTGGAATTCACCATGCGAGAGGCTGTGCAGTGCCTACATGCGTTAGAAGAATATTGCCCCTCTAAGGAAGACTACAGCAAACTCTGCTTGCTGCTCACGTTGCCTCGTTTGACCAACCATGCAGAATTCAAAGACTGGAATCCCAGCACGGCGCGGGTGCACTGCTTTGAAGAAGCTTGTGTCATGGTGGCAGAGTTCATTCCCGCTGATAGGAAACTGAGCGAGGCTGGTTTCAAAGCAAGTAACAATCGTTTATTTCAGCTTGTAATGAAGGGGTTGCTTTATGAATGTTGTGTGGAGTTCTGTCAGAGTAAAGCAACAGGAGAAGAAATTACAGAAAGTGAAGTATTGCTGGGCATCGATCTCTTATGTGGTAATGGGTGTGATGATTTGGACCTTAGCTTGTTATCGTGGCTACAGAACCTGCCAGCTACTGTTTTTTCCTGTGCTTTTGAACAGAAGATGCTTAATATTCATGTTGATAAACTCCTCAAGCCTACAAAAGCTGCATATGCTGATCTTTTGACACCTCTTATTAGCAAACTTTCTCCATACCCATCCTCCCCAATGAGGCGGCCTCAGTCAGCCGATGCTTACATGACCCGCTCCTTAAACCCCGCCTTAGACGGGCTGTCCTGTGGGTTAACAAATCATGAGAAGCGTGTCACAGACCTCGGGACCAAAACTTCTCCCATGTCGCACTCCTTTGCTAATTTCCATTACCCTGGAGTACAGAATCTCAGCCGAAGTCTTATGCTGGAGAACACCGAGTGTCACAGCATTTTTGAGGAGTCACCTGAGCGGTAAGTGCAACTGCAGTTTTTTGCTTAGGTTAAAATTACACGTGTCGTATTTCTGGACGTAAGTGCAATGTTGAAACTTACCTTGGTTGTTTAGTGGCTGGTTAAGTAAAACTCAGTGGACGAGGGGTTTTTATTCCCCGTGCATTTATGATTAAAATCAGATTTTCGTATTTGCTTGTGAGCCTTTTGGGTTCAGGCAGGATTTTCTTGAAGTTTAGGTGTACAGAAAATGGAAGTTACAGCTTATATAGTTTATATTTGTATATAAATCCAAATTTATGTTCTGATTATGTAATAGAGGTTGTGTTACTAATTTGAATTTTTTCCTCACCGATAAATATATGCTGTTTGTGAGATGGCTGTAACTCCATCTTTGTTATTCTCAGTGTCTGTAAACTTGGGTCACGATACTGCAAATAACTAAATATGCTCAATGTTTCTCTTGAAAAGAGTTATTGCCGTTTCTGAATGATCTGGTTTAATGTTTGATTTTACCATCCTCTTCATAGCTGCAGTTTGTAGATTGCTTAACTCCTATAGCTTTTACTCTAGAATGTTACTTCTCTCTTCTTACCAGTGGACTTTCTGCTCATATCTTTTCTCAATTACACTTCTTTTTCATGTTGCTCTGAGAAGTGATACTCCTGTGGAGCCACAGCATCCCATTGGCAGCGAGGCATTGTCCCAGAGTTTAGTTCTAGAGAATGAGCCAGTCACTGGAGCACAGACTCAGGGATCGGCCAAACAAGAGAAAAATGAGGTACTGGCTGTTCTGAAACATATAATATGAAAAATAATGAAGCCTTTGGAGCTGTGTTCTGATATGTTCATAATTTGCTTTTTGTGTTGAGAACTTCATGCATGACAGTGAATTGTTTGCAGTCTTGGTGGCTTTTTAATGAGATGTTAACAAATCAAATTACAATATTGCATTTTGTATAAGACACTTCTTTTTTCATTGTAAAGCATTCTGCTGTCAGTTAAGTCTGTAGCGCACCCAGTGAACCTGGGTGCATTCTCACCTTAGTGTTGCTAAACTATTGCATGTAACTTAAATTTTGCAGAGCTCTAAATCAGCAATGTTAGATTAAACAGTGCTTAAGAATCCTTTTAGTGTTTTAGCCAGGAATCTAGAGGGTAGCTTGCAGTGTTAGTGTTACTGTCAACTTTCAGGGGCCATTGTATGTAATTAGTCTAGAGCACAGATAATGAATATCAAATCCCTGTTAAACGTATCTTTGCTGTCCAGAATCCAGTAGCATAACCTCTTTATTTAAAAAAACAAAAGAGTTTGAAAGCTTTGGGCCTTGACTTTTTTCCTGTCCTGTAATGGCAATATGGGGAAGGTGAAATAGCAGTTTAGTAGGAAGGGATGAACAGTTACCCATTCTTTTTGCTTTCCACCATTCTAAATATCTGCCTCTGAGTTCGGTAACAATGTATTCTTACCTGAATATTTGTACTAAGTGTTTGAGTGAAGAAATAACATCCAGTTGTTTGTTTGGTTTGTAGACTCCAGTTTGATTTTCTTAAGTAAACTTTTGACATCTCTACAGTACTGAAAACCAGTCCAGTCTTAACAGGGCTAGTTTAGTGTAGACTCTGGGTGATTGAGTGGGGCAATGGGGCTGTGAGGGGATTAACAGAATCCTCTAAATGTGAGGACTTGGCTCCACTCAAGGACTTTGCTGAGTAACCTCTTTGCTGCAGTGACATGATTTATGTGGGCTGGGAATAAGGAAAGGGAAAGAGGAAAGAGCTTAGCTAGGCACATGGCAGAGCAGTCCTCAAAAGTCAGAAGACCATGGCAGAGTTTATGGGGGAGAACGAAGGCAGGAGATGTAACTGTAAGTGAAGATGTTGGTTGGACTGTTATACACAAGTGAAAAACAAAGTAATATCCAGTCCAGTTTCTTCATGTTTGGTTTTGTTTGTGTTACTGCTGTGTTATCTGCGTGAATGAGAAATTCTTTCATGTCTCCTTAGTTCTTATTGGTGTTGTTCTTGGAAAGACTGATTTTAAAAGCCAGGTTTTATACTACAGAGCATCTATGCAACATGTTTAGGTTTTGGATTCTATATCATTGTCACTCAGACTAAAGGACCCAGGATTGCAGCAAATAAGTACTAGTTATGAAAAAAAAATATGCTCCAGGGTATGCCTGTTGTTTGTAAGGATGCTAACTCGGCAGTTTGGAAATGGACCATGTATTTGAAATAGTTGGAATGCTTCTTAAGCTTTCAAAGATAATTTCCAAGTTCTCATCTTGAGGAAACCTAACAAGTATGAAGAACTTTTTTACCTACTGCTACTACTACATTTTTTTTTTTTCTTTCAGTTGGTAAAAATATTGTTTTATTTTTCAGAAAATGCACGTCATTGTTAATACTTCGATCTTGGACTGAAGTGCTTCAGGCTTTGTGTGTTTCACTGTTCTTTTTGAACTTGTTCTCAGCTGGTTTTGATGGTGACATTTGGAGCTAGCAACAGAGGCAGGGAGTGCAGAAAGCAGGAAGTCCTTGGGAGCTAGTGGCAGGGAGTGAGTGCAGAAGGCAGGGAGTAGTGGGGGAAGCTAAAGAGACAACATAAATGTGAAGAGACAATGTAAAAGGAAGCTGAAGTATTTGTTTTGCCTAGAGGTGCTACATCCTATTTTTTAATGTTGATCGCTGGGAGATAGGAATCTGTTCTGCAGACTGATTGCAGAGAGGTATCAACACAGCAGAAGATACTGAAATGATATTGAAAATATGAATTGGAATTTGGAATGTAGCTTGTTTAGTGGTTTTTCTTTTATTTTCATCTTTTGATGACCTGTTTGTTTTGATGTTAATTACTGCTTTGGAAGTAGCAGTCTTGTCCTAAAATAAGCACGAAGGCAGCGCTCCAATACTAACAGCACGGTAAGGCAGGGATTTCCTTCTTTAGTAAGGAACTTGTATTTAGTTTTAGGGAAAATGAAAGTACTGCTGACCTTTTGATGCCTGTAACGAACTAGTGAACAAGAGAGTGAGTATTTAGCTTAAATTCTGCAAGTAACTATTCTTATTTTTCTAAGCTTCGTGATTCAACAGAGCAGTTTCAAGAATACTACAGACAAAGGCTACGTTACCAGCAGCACTTAGAACAAAAAGAGCAACAGCGGCAGTTATATCAGCAGATGTTGCTGGAAGGTGGTGTAAATCAAGAAGATGGACCTGACCAGCAACAGAATCTTACTGAGCAGTTTCTTAACAGGTTGGGGATATCTGTTACTCTTCTCCTTTTCTCTCTAGCCACTTGCATAACTGCAAGTTCGCATGTTAACCTAGTTTTGTTTTCTCTTTTTTTGTTGTTGTCTTTTAACTAGGTCTATCCAGAAGCTAGGAGAATTAAATATAGGTATGGACAGTCTTGGAAATGATGTGCAAACACTTAGCCAGCAATGCAATGGGAGCAAAGGGAATGCATCTACCAGTCTAGCAAGTAACGTTACATCAGGTGCTGCTCAGAGGATGCCGACTGATGGCCAAAGTGTTAGCACAAGCACTCCTCGAAAGCATGGATCAGCTAATCAAATACCCTTTCCTGAAGAGTCACCTGTGCAGGGGAATCAAATGTAAGTTATTTGATACCTGCTTAAGACTGGAAATTCCTTTCTCTTACCACTGTGGAAATAGCGGTTTGTATCTACTTATCAATACCAAACAGATTTGTTGTTTGAGTTGGGGGTATATGGTTGGTGACCTGTTGTCTAGGTATTTTTATACGAATTTTAAAATAAATTCTTGACTTAGGAGAAATGGTGGTTATTTGTGATGGCTTCTATTTTATGTTTAATTTTGATTTCAGACCTCTTATTCCATATTAATTGTGTAATTAACGTTTATTTTGTAATTCTACTAAGCTTCTGAAATACAAAATAAATGGGGTAGCTACTGGATTTTCTGTGTAAAATAAATGCTAACCTAGAAGCAGAAACTGTTTTGCCATGTATGTGTTGTGTGTGTTATAGCATGAAAGAAAATATTTTTATTTCTTTAATTTTTGACTTGTTTGATGCCTGGAGCTGTCCAAAAAATGACAATCTCTTGTAAAAATAGTATGTTAATGATAAGGAGTTAGACATGTGATGTAAGTTCTCAGTGTGACTGCAGCTTTAGTCCAGAAATGCTTACAAACAAACAAATCTCCTTCCTTTTTTTTTTTCTTTCTGTTGTGCATTTCAACTCTTAATCAAATCGAAACAGTGTGTCAGAACATGCTGTCGCTCAGCCACAGTTGGAGGACTCTTCAGGGAATCTAAATAGGACAAGAGGTGATGAGGTGAGTTTTCTTACTCTCTTGTACAGTGTATGATTTCACAAGATTCAGTGCTTGATCCTATGTGACATTCTCTCATTGTTAATAGATGGTTAGACTGAATGTAATACTTAGTGTCACAGAACAATTGAGGGTGGATGGGACTTTTGAAAAACGAGTCCACAACAGCTGCTCAAGGGAAGTTCAGTGGCAGTAGATTGCTCAGGGCCAGTTCAAGTGGAGTTTTATGCATTGAAAAGTATTAAGACTACAGCCTCTGTAGGCAGCCTGTTTCCATGCTTGACTACTCTGTGTGTTCTGTTTAAAACAACAGACATAGTTAAATGTAACTTGCTGTATTTCTATTTGTGCTCATTGCCTCTTGCCCTGTGCTGAGTACCACTGCTCTGTCTTCTTTACTTCTCCTGTCAGGTTTTTATACTCATTGATTAAATCCACTGACCCCAGCCTCCTTCAAGCCCTTCTCTTCTGGAACAGTCCCAACCCCCTCAGTCTCTTTGCACAAGGAAAGCTCCACTGCCTTGGTCATCTTAGTGGAGCCAAGCACTGGTCATGGTACTCTAGATGTCAAATGTGAAAGTATGGCACAAGTAGTTCTGAGCAGCAGCTCAGTTGGTAGCTTTGCTCCCCTTACGAGTTTCACCTGGACTAGATGTGTATTTGTAGAAATAAATTGTAATAGCAGACTTAGGAGTTGGCTGTTAAGGAAGATAGTTGTTGGTGTCCTGGGGGGAGGATGAGAAATGTTAATCTAACGTCAGCTTAGGAGTGAATTGTAGTAATGAATTTTCTGAAGAATGTCATTCAGTGACCAGGAATAAACATTGTTTTTCCAAATTCTGAATTTAGTCTGGTCCTCTGCTTTCTAGTACATTTTTCAGAGTAACTTATAACCATTATTTCAACAATCAAGCCTACTTTCCAACTGGTTTTGCTTTAAGAACCTAATTTGACTGTCATCATTCTGTGTAGGATGACAAATCAAAAAAGCAGTTCATTTGCATTAATACTCTAGAAGACACACAAGCTGTCAGAGCTGTTGCCTTTCATCCCAGTGGAAGTTTATATGCTGTTGGCTCCAACTCCAAAACCTTGCGAGTGTGTGCCTACCCAGAGGTAATTGACCCAAGGTAAGAAAGACTGTAACTTTATTTTCCTGTGTGATAGTATTTCTTTCTCCAGTAGCTACTGATACCTGTATGTTTCATTCCTTTATTTTGCTGTTGTAAGTAGTGCAATCGTCATTACAATCTTGAACTGCCAAACCAAAACAATCTGAAGTATTTATGTGTTTGTGGACAAGTTTTTGCTCTTCCATTACATGCTAGATACATTGCTGTGCAACAACTTTTCCTTATAAAAGTGTTATTTTGCTTTAGTGGGCGGGCCCTGGAAGTAAATACTGCCATCTCAATCATCATCTCCTTGCCTCTGCTCCAATAACATGATTTTCTTGGAGCAGAGGGGAAGCACAGGTATCTAAAACCTGACAGTTTCAGAAGGAGTTACAAGGACGCACAGTTTAGGATTTGTGTTCAGGCTTCTAAAGTGTTCAGTAGGTAATCTGAATATTTCCACCAATTCTCTCCCCTTAAACATAGTACAGTAGATCAGTAAGTAGCCTTTGTAGTTAACTGGTCAAAAAGTCTTTGAAGTTTAATTCCAAAATACTTATTGACAGTGCATCAGCTAACTCCACATGGTGCTGTTTCATAGTCAGTGCAGACTGATTTGCTGGGCTTGAAGCCCAGATATTCTCTCCTTGGTTGGTAAACAGTGCCAGCGTTTCTAGTAGGACAGGCAATTCACTATCATTAGTGATTAGTCTCTCCTCACACAACTTACTGTTCTAAATGTTGGGAAAGATTAGATTGACTCTGCAGCATTGGTCTCTTGTGAGAAGTGCATGCATCTGTTCTGACAAGAGACATAATGTGTATGGGTATCAAAGGAATGCAGAGACTTTATTCATTTGAACATGTACTTGTGCATCTTAACTGGTCTTTTGCTTTGCTCAGTCTGCCAAAAACTTTCCATCGTGGGATTTTCAAGTCAGCAAAGAAATGTTTTGAAACACAATCTTTGTAACAGTCTGACTCCAGACAGACAATGGTTGGTTTTTGCAAAAAATCTATTTCTGTGAATGCAAACTGAGTGGTCCTGGTTTTGTTTTGTTGTTTTTTTTTCCTCTGTTCTGTTCTTATCAGGTGTCAACAGTATGTTTTTCAAATTCCTCAGTTGTGATTAAATTTGCTGAGTTTCTGTTGTTGATGTTACTGCAGTGAATGTTGATGTTGGATACAGCAATACTGTATATTAAGCACTGGACTATTTCCTGCTAGAGGAGCAGGAATTCCTCAGTTGAAAGAGAGGGAATGTACTTAAATTGGACTGTTTTTTTACTTCTGCTGTGTGTAAAGCTGATCTAGTTTCTTCCCTTTGATTATGCGGTGTGTATATTATATACGCACACACGCATATATATATATATATATAGGTGCTAGAAAGGCTGGGTTTTGTTTGTTTTTTTTCTTACTACTTTTAATGGACAAAGAAGATTCTTAAAGCAACTTTCTTTTGCTTCTTTCTCAAGCAGGGTTAACATGTAGGAAGCAGTTTATTTACAGAGCACATAAATTTCCTTACAAATAAAAAGAAAGCACTTCTTTTTTGCTGTCTTTCAGTGCTTATAATACTCCTAAGCAACCAGTAGTTCGCTTCAAAAGGAATAAGCATCATAAAGGATCGATCTACTGTGTGGCCTGGAGTCCCTGTGGACAGTTGCTGGCTACTGGTTCTAATGATAAATATGTGAAAGTACTGCCTTTTAATGCTGAAACATGCAATGCAACAGGTAGAGTGTGTGTGTGTGCGCATGTGTAAAGAAGTAATTTTAGATTATTCGTCCACTACTTAAGACCATTTAAATTATTTAGGTTATGTAGTTGAGTTCTGCTGTAATTTCTCTAATACGTGAATGAATGTAGTCCCTTTTTCTACCTATTGTCACTGTGTTCTTTGTTAAGAAAATGGACACTGAGGCTGTTGTTTAGGGAGTATCTTTGCGTTTTAATTAAGTTTGGATGCTTGGGTTGGTTTTATTTTTTTGTTTGTTAGTTTGCTTTCATTTTGTCTTTGATCTGGAGATTCAGTGGCATTGTGCTGCCATCTGAAATTTGTTTTCAAATACTGGTAAATAGCTGAATGTTCTTACCAGCTCCAGTCTGTAAGAATTGCCAGTAGAAGTTTATTTCCAAATTGAGTTATCTTTTCCTCGCCTACTTCTGTTGTCATCTCTTTCTCTGTAGAAATCTGGTATTTCTTTTACACAAATACTACTTTCTTTGCCTTGCCCTTACAGCCATTATTCTGACTGTGGCTGTATTTTATTTTGAACTCGGCTGACTTGTCTTGTTGGATTTTAGTTATCCTTTCCTCCTGGCAGAGAAAACCTTTTTGTATTTGTGTTACTTCACCACAATTCACAAAAAGAAATAATTGTACTATGTAAATCTTGCCCGGAATTGCCTGTGGAGATGATCTCTGTATATTTTTTTGCTATACGTTAGGAATGGTAGGAATCTCAAGCAACACCCAATGAAAATAGCATTAGTGAGGGTTTTACTTGAGCTTAGTATTTATAGTTCTATTGAAAGTATACGTTTATCATAGATCGTATGCTGCCATTGCCTGAAGTAACTTGTGTTGTCACTATAACTGCTTTAAAGATTGCAGCACTGACTGCTAAACCAAATATGCCTCATATTCTTTTTATTATTGCTTTTGTTACGGCAGGTCCAGATTTGGAGTTCAGCATGCATGATGGGACAATCAGAGATCTTGCTTTTATGGAAGGACCAGAAAGTGGTGGTGCTATCTTAATAAGTGCTGGAGCAGGGGACTGTAATATATATACAACAGACTGTCAGAGGGGGCAAGGTCTGCATGCTTTAAGTGGTCACACAGGTAAGCTGTTACTTCCATATTGCATTTCAAAAGTCTGTATTAGATTCATGTAGCAGTTGTTTTTGAAATGTCATCTTTGAGTTTTCCTTTGAGCAAGAATTCAATTATCCCTAGACTGCTCTGGTGATAGTGGGGAAGGGTGGTTGTTTTTGTGTTTCAGATATTTTTGTTTGACAGTTCTTTTTGTTGGTTTCTTTGTGTCTGATTGGTTTGTTGGGTTTTGGTTTGTTTTTTTTTTTTCTTTAAATATCCTGTTAACTTGTTGGCAGAAGTGCATACTTTGTTGCAGAAAAGGTGCAGTGCTCAGTATTCCTTTATACTATTATTTCAGAACCTGCAGCTATTCTTCAGGATCATTTAATTTCTGAATGCAAAAATATCATTGGAAATGTAACATTTCATTGTTTGATTAATTATGCTGAATCCTTTTTTTTTCCACAGGTCATATTTTAGCACTTTATACGTGGAGTGGCTGGATGATCGCATCTGGATCCCAAGACAAGACTGTAAGATTCTGGGATCTGAGAGTACCAAGTTGTGTTCGTGTTGTGGGAACAACGTTTCATGGAACAGGCAAGACTGGCTTCCACGCCTTTGCTCATTCTTGCATTAAAACAGAGGTCTTAATAGAAAGCATGAGGGTGTAATTTGTTTCTTTCCTTAAAAATAAACAAGCACTTGAAACATTGGTGGCTACTTTGCCTTGTGAAATTCAAACATGTCTCTGAAGTAGTTCAGAATAACACAAGACACATGAGCTGTTTCAGGAAAAAAAAAAGTAAGTTAGCATTCTATACTTTTACGTAGAACCATCGAGTATCTTGAGTGGAACACACCCACAAGATCAAGCTCAAATCCTGGCTCCAGTGGGACCACCCAAAACTCAAACCCTATGTTTGAGAGCGTTGTCCCAGCCACTCTTAAACTCCAGTAACTTGGAGCTGTGACTACTGCACTGGGCAGCCTGTTTGATGCCCACCACCTGCTGGTGCCAGAACTCTTCTTTGATCCCCACCTACCCTCCTTTGATGCAACTCCACATTGTTCCCTTCATCTCTGTTGCTGTCACAGAGGGCAGAGAATAGCACTGCCCCTGTACTCCCTGTGAGAGCTGCAGCTGCTGTGAGGCCTCCCCTCAGCCTTTGCTCTGGTTGAGCAAACCGTGGACCTATCTCAGCTGCTCTCATATGTCTTGTCCTCCAGACCTGGATTCCCCACGTTTGTAGCCCTCCTTTGGATGCTCTCTAATAGTTGTGTGTCTGTATGTGGTGGTGTCAAATCCTGCACACAGGTGGCCACCAGTAATGGGTGATGTAATGGAAATGTGTTTGTAGTAATGATAGAAACCGTACCCAGGAGAAGCTCCTTTGCAACTGCAAAAGAGGGAGAGAAACCAGGAGTTTTCCAAAGTTGCAAACCCAATAATGCCTGGACAGACACACCAATTCTGTCAGTGATCACTATCATGATCCTGGCTGGCTACAAGTGATAACATTCCCATTTTGTCATTTGCTTAAATACAATGGCTTGTATTTTTCTCCTGTAGGAAGTGCTGTAGCCTCAGTAGCTGTTGATCCTAGCGGTCGTCTCCTGGCTACAGGACAAGAGGACTCCAGCTGCATGTTGTATGATATTCGAGGAGGGCGAATGGTCCAAAGCTATCATCCTCACGCAAGTGATGTTCGTTCTGTGCGCTTCTCTCCAGGGGCTCACTACTTGCTCACAGGATCTTATGACATGAAAATAAAGGTGACAGACTTGCAAGGTAACATACAAAAGATGCTAGGTTATTTTTCAGTTTGTTTTTCTTACAGAGGTTGAATCAAAGATAATGTTTTGGTTTGAAAGAAAAGAATAGAATTTCAAGCGTTTGAAATGTCATCATTTGGTTGGTGAGGGGTAAGAAGCTGATAACGGTAAAAACTATTGAATCCTATTGCTTGAAGAGTTGGCCTTTGCTTTTGCACAGCATTTAGAAAATTTGCCCTTTAAAAAGAAAAACGTAAGTATTGTCATAATTACTGTGAAGAGTTTAGATGTACTTTACACCTTTTCCTAGCACCTTTCCCCAGACTGTTCAGTTGCATGTGTGGTGTGTGTTTGTTTCTCTGTGTTGAAAGGTTCAGTATGCTTCATAAGGTGACATGCACCTGTAAGTTTTATTAAATCATAAAGAGCTGGAATATAAAGTGATGAAATAACTGATGATGTCTGTTCCTCTACTGCAGGAGACCTCACAAAGCAGCTTCCTCTTATGGTGGTAGGAGAGCACAAGGACAAAGTTATTCAATGCAGATGGCATACACAAGATCTTTCCTTCTTGTCATCGTCAGCAGACAGAACTGTAACCCTTTGGACCTACAACGGCTAGAGTGCAACTAAAGGCAACCTATGCAGCTAAAGCACAGAGACCTGAGACTACAGAACTGTAAAAACCAAGTAATAAGAATTAGGCATTCAGAGAGCAGCAGTTGAGTAGGAGAGTATGTTGAAAAGAGACACTTGTCACAGATTTTTCTGGTTTCTAGGAGGTCTTGGTGTTTTTAGTATATTCTTTTGCAGTGCTTTCAGTCTTCCATGTGAACTCATGCTGCTGTGACCTATTGTAGTCTTGTTGCCAAAGTTTGAGAAGAACTTTCATTGTTAGTGTGCACTCTAAGTAACATGAATGATGTGTTTACAGTTTGGTATTAATTGCATTCCTTGGTTTTTGCTTCAGTGAAAATTTTTATAGAGGAACTTCAGTTGATCAGCACTTCCAGTCGGTATCAAAGTAGTTCCATGTACACATAAGATATTCCACTGTTTTTTCAGATTTATTATATTCATCACTTCTTATCAAAAGGTCAGACTTTTTAACATCAACTTTTTTAGTAATGAACTCTGAACTTCAAAGGTGATTAGGTGGTAACCACATCTTGATTATGGTCTTTTCTCTTCATCTAGAGGGGGAAATGTTGCTCTCATTACTACATGACATTGTTTTCAACAAGCTGACATGTTGGAGGGGGGGGAAACAGTAACAGTGAATTTGTTTTTGTAGAAACATAAAATATTTTGCTTTCTGAATGCAACAGAATACCTCTGTGTATAATGTACTGTAGAAGAGAGTGGATTGGCAGCAGTTGTCACAGTGAACTTAATGGCTATCAGTTCTCAAAGTAAAAGGGATACCATTAACACTATAATAGAAACCAGCATGGCTTAAAATGCTATGTCTGCATGATAATTTAAGAATTAAGTAATTTAAATTCCCAGTTCAGAAGCTTATCTGAATTTTATTTCTTGCACTGTTTATGTATGGGAAATTAGTTTTTTTTATTTCTACAGAACTTTAGATTTGAATGTTTATGTATTGTTATATTTTTTCATATTGTACAGTTCCTTTTACTTTTTAAATTTGAACCTTAAGCATTAGGTTATTTATTTGAACTGCAGCTAAGTTTTGGATTCTCTTGATTACTAAATTAAACGTGCACTGTAGCAAAGCATTTTTAACTATCGTATAAAAGTGGAAAGGTAAATATAGAAGTGTATCTGTGCTATAATCTCAATAAAGACCTCCAACACCTGCAGCTACCTTATCTGCTTGAGCTTCTTATGTAATGCCTCAGTGCTACTCAAACTATTGGGCAAGAGCTGGTGCATGCTTAGAATTTGGTCTTTGTACTGTTTCAGAGAACCTGACTGTAGTGGGGTAAGTAGTAACAGACTAGAACTGTGAATTTGACACAGAAGGAGGAGCTGATGCTGCTTTGGAGGAGTGCTCGCAGCTACCAGCTTCTTCACTCCTAAGCTAGCTGTGTGAGATACAGCTTGTGCTGTTAGAGACTGCCCAATTACACATCACTTCGTGTCCTGGATGTCCTGCGAGTCTGCGTTGTCCGTGTGCCTCGTGCTCGTATTTACTGCAAAGCGCCCGGGCTGTGTGAGTTGGGAGCGGAAGGGGGATCTTATATCTTATTTACGAAAGACTGAACCAGTAGGCTGAGCGTGGGGAAGGGAGACGGTAAGCTGGAGTAACAGCAGGGTAAGAATTGCTGCGTCATCTCTCGCAGCGGTGTACGGTTCCGCGCACTCGCTGTTCAGCTTCCGCACGTGCCGGGCGGAGCTGCCGGCTGCCTGCCGCCTTATTGCGGCTCCGCTTCGGTTTCGCCCTGCGGCTGGTTTTCCCGCCTTTCGCCGCACTCCTGCCGCCGTGCGGTGCGCGCGTGCAGCCGCCCCTGAAGTGACCGACGGCGCGCGGCCCTCCCCGCCTCGCCCGCTCTTTGCGCCCTGAGGCGCCGGGCCGCGCCTGCGCGCCTCGGAGCGGGGCTGCGCGGTGGGCAAGGCGGTGTAAGGGGCGGGGAGAAGGCGCGGGCCCTCACTGCCGGCCCGGGGCTGGTGGTGCGGCGAGCGCGGGGCCGAAGGAGCGCGGCGGGGCGGTCTGCGGCGCTCAGGTACGAGGGGCCGCGCGCGGCCCGGTGCGGGCGCGAGGCCGAGCGGTGGCCGTTGGGGCGGTGGCTGCGGCGGCGCCGCTGACGGAAACCGCGGCGGGTGGGCCGGGCCGGCTGCGAGGCTCTGACGAGACGGCGGGAGCGGGAGCGGTGATAGCGACGAGAACGTTTGCTCCGGGTTGTACTGCCATTTCAGCCCTCGCACGGAAAGCGGTCCTCCCTTCCCTGCCGCGTAGCCCCGCGCTGTGGGCGCAGCGATGCTGGTGCTGGTGCTGTGCGCCGCCGTGCTGGCGGGAGGCCGGGCCCAGGACGACGACTGGATCGACCCCACCGATATGCTCAACTACGACGCGGCGTCGGGAACGATGAGAAGGCCTTACAAGGTACGAGAGGCGCTCGAGTCAGTCTGTCTGTACTGAGCCGCGTCCTGCTGAGGGGGAGCCCTTAAGTCGCGCGTTTATGTAATATTGGAGTTGTGCTCTTTTTATCATTCCGTAAAGATACATTCTGGTCTGTAAACGGAAAGAAATTGTGCATCTGTAACTCTGCTCTGGGCAGTGCTGCGCCGAGTGGCTCTCGCTGGGCACCAGAGCACGGCGTTATGTATCTGAAAATGAAGCTCTGGTTAATGGGTGACGTTTGAGTTAAGCTACCGAACTCCTCAGTAACGTAGTTGCAAAACTTGTCCATTGTATGAATGTGTTGTGAAACTCGATGGAGTTCTACTGTGTTGGGCATCAGAGCCTTCAGAAGGAAGATTAGAACTGAGTAATGCTGTGCTGTTAGTACTCCAGGAATATGGAGAATATGAAATATGAAAATACAATTTGAAGATGGTGGATCACAATCTGCAACACCACGTATCATGAGACGCATGTTGATCATTATGTCACATAGAGCACTGTAAGCTATGGCTGGCTGCATGAGCACCCTTGTCATTCTTCAGCTTTGAATTTTGGTTTTGTAGTCTTGAATAATTCTTCTTAAGTATTTCAGAGTATTGTTTTAGGAACCTGATAAAGTACAAACTGCGTTATTTGTCTTTGTAACTCTTGTGAAGAGAACAGCTCCCAAAGCATTCGGATGCTACTTCAGGGTGAAGGGGGAAACTGGAAAGTTGAGCAAGGCACACAACAAGGAATGCAGCTCTGTTGACTTTAAGTCTGGCTGTATGGCCATCGTGGCTGGGGATTTGGGCTGGCTGGAAGCTGTCCCTTCATTCGCTGAGTCAGTGGTTAGCCAAGCTTTATCTAATCTGATGCACTGGGGCTCGTGTGCTCAGCAGCTCTCAGCCAAGGAGAAAGGGTGAGACCTCTCCTTCTGGGGGCAGCATGCACAGGCATAAAGCAGCTGTTGGTTCGGAGCCTGAAATAACAGCAGAGAAGCAATGGAATGTAGCTGAGAGCGTTTGCGGAAGACCAACCCTCGTTTTAGCACCTTTGCTCCTGCCAGTCTATGACCTGTCTATGGAAGTGTGATATGGCACGTTGGTTAAATTCTTGGATTCTGAAAGTTGTTTTTTTCTTATGTAACTTCAGGTAAACTATCATGATTCTGAGGATAAGACAGTGGATGGAATCATCAATGAAAACTTATCAAGTTGTTCCAGGGAAGTGGATTCTTTGCAGCGGAAGGTTTGTTATGGAACTTCAGAGTATTTTCCAGTCTCTTGTTTGTGCCTGATGCAGAGTTGATGGATGACATAGGTAGCATAGAGAATTGTCGGTTCACTGTGGGAAACCGTGCACTACTTAAAGGGAACCTCTTTGTGTGACTTGCGAGGAAAGAAAGTGGTTTGATTTCAGTTCCAAATTACTGCTCTGTCTGTTAAGGGCTGTTTCCTGAAATGTTCTGTAGTGGTACAGAAGCTGGTAGGAGTTATGTGCAGCACTGACAGTTTAAATGTTGTGGTGGTGTTACTTCATGCTGCCACCACAGCTTAGGGAATCTGACTTTGCATTTGAGTGTTCAGTTCTGGTACGTTTGAAGGGCTGGGCTGTAGGTGAGAGCTCCTGTGGCTGCCTGCAGTGTGCAGTGGCAGCAGCTCCCAGAAGCCCTGTAGGCAGCCCACTCTGCTGCTTCCTCTGAGGTCGGAAGGATGCGGTGATGCTTGTGTAGTTCTCAGTTGTTTGGAGACCCCATGTGAAATGGGATCTTGGTATTGTTCTACTTGATATGCTTTACATGGTACAAACTCAAAATTTAAGGATATTCGGATCCATAGTGTTTCTAGTCCTACTGACGTGGGCATTCAAAATGTTTCGCTACCAGATCTGAAATCCCCAGTACTGGCCAATGCCATGGAAAGCAGTGGCAGCGTGAAAAGCTCTTTAGCAACTGCATGTGATTTGTATCTGATGTGTGATCCCACTGACTGTGGGATTATTGCTAAACTAAAGAAACGTGACGCTGTTAATCGTGAGTTTCTTGTGTTGGTGGTATTTGTTTATTCTATAAACCAAACCATGTTTGAGCAACAAATGAGTGGAAATGTCTTTATGTTGCAGATTGCAGAATGTGAGAACAGGAATGCCAAATCTCGTGAAAGCCGGAGCTTTTATATTTTTAAGCGGTACTTGAATAAGATTTTAAATGAAGCTAGGAAACTTGGCCTTGTGAGTATCTGAAAATGGATTAAAAACGAGTTTGAATTCATTCTGTCATGTTTCAAATTAAAGTGAAGGAAACTGAACTGTGAAATTAGAAATGATGGAATGCATGCAGTATTGCTGTCAGAGTTTGTGCTGTTTGCTCACGGCAGGCACAGTGGTCTCTTGTTCTGTAAAGCATCCAGGGGCAGCATGCATGACTTGAGAAAACAGAATGCAGTGTCTGTTGCTGGGGTGCAGCAGTATCTAGTAATGCCCTGTCCGGTTCACCTCAGCAGCTGTTAAACTCGTGAGAGCTAGATCCCGTATTTGCTTGTGGTAGCCTTTGTAGGCTTCTCTTTAAGACCTGATCACAGTGCCCAGCTAGGAGTAGCAGCTTTGAGTTTGCATGTAAGAATTACCACATCTATTTCTTCATTTTATTGCCTTTGGAGATAGTTTTTATTTTATCCAGGGGTAGAACAGTAATTTTTTAGCAATTGGTAAAATTAATGTTTTAGAAGAACATTATGTTTAGCAATACAACATTTCTTATTTCCCTATTTAGAAGCTTCTGTCTGTGTTACCCACTCATGAAGAAGTTCAGTGGCACCCATAGTGTGTCAGTCCTGAATGCCTGTCAATGAGAAGTGGTTGTAAAATTTAAATCACGGCTCAGATGACCCAATGCATCATTTATAGGTTTTTGCACTAGAGTTGAAAGAAAACAAAACAGCTGCATTTTTGTTCTATATAGGCCTTCATCCTGCAATCCACCACAAAAGGTAGCCAGCTTTTGTGTATAATCAGGGCTAATAATCAGGATTTTGCAACGGAATAGCATTTTTCTTACATAGATGTTAAAGGTTGCCTACTGGAAGTACAATTGTTTTGTCTTGCTTTTAATTCAGCCCGAGGGAAACATGGACCAAGTGCATTATGATGCTGAAGTTATCCTCACAAAACAGGCACATCTGGAGATCCTCCGGTTCCTGCAGGAGGAAGCGTGGCAGCCAGGTGCTGTGGATGATGCACTTAGCAATATTTTGATCAATTTTAAGCACCACGATTATAAAGCTTGGCACTGGAGATTTGAAGACACTTTTGGAATTGATCTGTATAACGTGTTTATGGTAAGAGAGGAAAGGCAGTAGTCTCGTATTGATTACTGTTTTCTCCTGTTTCTTTGTGAAGCAGTATTACCACCTTAACTCTGCATGAAAACCTGTCATAAGCTCTTTGGTTGTTGAAGCTGTAGGGCAGGTAGTTATTTGAAACACAAACTTTTGTATTCCCTTGGTCTTACTTTCTTCTTGTGGCAATGCAATTTTTTTTTTTTCTGGAATGCATTTTTTTTTCTTTGGTCTTTTGTAACTGTGCTGTGGGACTCTTTGGGCTCTGTTGGTTTGTTGTCACGACTTACATTCATAATGCACAGGTTGTCAGTTGTCCAGATTTGTCTCTTGTTCAAATAGATGCTGTTGCTGCTGGCTTCTATAGGAGTTGGAATGTATTTCTATTGAGAGAAGCATGTATTTGTGGTCTTAGATTTTAT